TAGGCCTAATATACTACATTTGTGTGCTATACTAGGCCTAGGAATATTTAAGTGTTCTTCATTTTTTTAGGACTATAAAGTGAATAGTACAAAATTCTACTAACCGCTTAGTATGTCATTGTTTGTACTATGGTTCACATAGTTACAAAAAATACTAACTAAACAAGAGGATGGATTGAAATATTGCATAAACCAAACACATGAGCAATATTACAAAGCAATGAACGATATTGTTTTCAATAAATTACGTGTCATAAAATTTGTAGTTGTTAAAAAATTGAATAAATAAATATAACCTGCCCGAAACGCTACTCGTACTAGTGGCTGTACAAGAATGTAGCAACTCTTGTATATATCTCAAAAAAACATTGAATTACAAGATGAAATGTTACAACTAATTAGTTAACAAAATATTTTATGGCTTTCTAGTAATGCACAGAGCCTATTAGGTTAGTAGTAAAGTTTCCTGACAGTTGTGGTGGAGGTAGTAGTGAATATTGGAAGTGGTGGTAGCACCAGTGTTGGAAGTAGTGTCGGTAGTGGTGGTGATGTTCTCAGTGGGCCGACTGCCAGCACTCATTCTATTTTGGTGCGACCATGTTGCTCCCACCAGATCCTTGTACCCGCTACCACACTTCTATATTGCCACATTGTAATATTACCACAAACATTTCCATACAACCATATTACTATACTATAATAACATTACAACTAACATGTTATCATGCTCTCTAACTTAATGCAGAGGGAGGCTTGTGATACCCTTCTTCTGACCAAAGGATAGCAGACAGACTAAGAGTATTCCATCTTCTAATATGGGGCCCTTTGGTCTTGATGGGGCTCAGAGCCCATAATAATAGAGCTGCAAGATATTAATTAGCTGGACCATTCATTCATTCTTAAGACCTGACACATGTCAAACGTATTCCCTATCTCCAGTTTTGTATATATTAAACTAGAAAGGGTACCCCTGTTTCACCCAGGTTTTTCTCCTCTCTCATTCTATATTCCCCCTACTCTAACTCTCTCCCCCAAGATCCTCTCCTCCCCTCTCATGCCTCTCCACCCTATCTCATCTCTTCTCCCTCTTCCCCAGCCTCCTCTCTCATCAAGCCTCCCTCCTCCTCCTCTCTTGCAGAAAATATAATACTGTATCGAAATTAAGCGACGCTGTCAACCACCTTTCACTGATTATGTATGTGTGGGGGTCATTATTAATTCCAACATCCTCTTAATTGGACCGACCCTTATCAGCCGATGGCCATCGCATACCTCACACCGTTCACCCTGCAAAGTTGAGCGAAGCTAGCCCCAAGCATCAGTCCTCTAATCTTGGACAGATAGACATATATATATATATATATATATATATATATATATATATATATATATATATATATATATATATATATATATGTATACACACATATATATATATATGTACACACATATATATATATATATATATATATATATATATATATATATATATATATATATATATATATATATATATATATATATATATATGTGTGTGTACATATGTCGTACCTAGTAGCCAGAACCACTTTTCGGCCTACTATGCAAGGCCCGATTTGCCTAATAAGCCAAGTTTTCATGAATTAATATATTTTCTCTAATTTTTTTCTTATGAAATGATAAAGCTACCCATTTCATTACGTATGAGGTCAATTTTTTTTTATTTGAGTTAAAATTAACGTAGATATATGACCAAACCTAACCAACCCTACCTAACCTAACCTAACCTATCTTTATAGGTTAGGTTTGGTTAGGTAGCCGAAAAAGATAGGTTAGGTTAGGTTAGGTAGGTTAGGTAGTCGAATAACAATTAATTCATGAAAACTTGGCTTATTAGGCAAATCGGGCCTTGCATAGTAGGCATAGAAGTGCGTTCTGGCTACTAGGTACGACACATATATATATATGTACACACACACATATATATATATATATATATATATATATATATATATATATATATATATATATATATATATATATATATATATATATATATATATATATGTGTGTGTGTGTGTGTAATTATATTTTGTTTACCACAGAACTATAGTAATACCAGCACCACACTATCCCCTCGTACAAAGAATATGAGAACAAGGTTGCAGCTTCTCTTGAAGAAGTCGATGAATGTGAAACATGCAGGGAATGCCCTCTGTAACCGGTCTCTATAATACCTCGCTCTTCTCCACACACAACAACACTTGACCAGCCGACCTGGGCTTCTTCACTCTCTCTCTAGTCCTCTAGATCGTGCTCGCCGATGTTCTGTATAACGATTTCTGACCAATTCTATGTAATGTATTGAGAGAGAACCCCGTTTTCTTTGAGTGGTAAAGATATGATATAGTTTAATAGAAGAAATAACTGAGTTTACTGTAACATATCAATTTAGAAAAAGAATTAAGCAGCGATGTTAGTAAATCTGCTAAACAAATTAGGCCCATCTAAAACTATTTAGATGGGCTTTTAAAACGGACACAGGATTGGTAGATAAAGTTTACTGCTGAGAACTGTAGAGAGTTTTGATCTTAAGTAATAATAATAGCCACCAGATATCAGCTGAACAATGTTGTGTGCGTGCGGGTTGAGTATCCACTGGAGCTGCCTCGCCCGGGACAAGAGGCCTTCTGAGGTTACCTTTATTATTATTATGTGTTTAAAATTAGATGTACCAGATGTTCGACTTCAATTGGGCGAGTAAACGCCAGTCAGCCCTCCCCCCCCCCCCATCTTTAACCAATAATACAGGGTTGTAGAGATTTCCGGTTTACATCAAGAGTTTACACAGACGTGTTGAGTATCCACTAGTTTACTTTCGGTGCCTTAAAATAGACAAATGACTCAACTTGGTCAGGAAAGCTTTACGAAGGGAGGTGAGTTTCTTGTTGGAAACTCTGACAGTTACTCTCTAGAGCCTGAGGGAGAGGGAGGGGAAGGGTCTGAGGGCTGGAGCCTGAGGGAGGGGGAGGGTCTGAGGGCTGGAGCCTAGGAGGGAGGGGGAAGGGTCTGAGGGCTGGAGCCTGAGGGAAGGGAAGGGTCTGAGGGCTGGAGCCTGGGAGGGAAGGGAAGGGTCTGAGGGCTGGAGCCTAGGAGGGAGGGGGAAGGGTCTGAGGACTGGAGCCTAGGAGGGAGGGGAAGGGTCTGAGGGCTGGAGCCTGAGAGTGAGGGGTCGAGCAGTGGTGGAACCCAGGAGGGAGGGAGGGGGGGGCCAAGGGCATGGCTGGAGCTTTCCTCCACTTCCGTATAGAGCACAAAATATACTATAGTTACGGCCATGCTCCGTGCCAAGTGTCCAGGGTGTGCAGGGTGGGCGTGGTGTGGGAGTGGGTGTAATATGTGGGTGTAGGAGTGGGTGCGCAGGGTGGGATGAACCAAGAGGTCGGGCGTCGGGTAGGTGTTGGGAGTGAAGACTGCTATTTGTGAATGACTGACAGTTTTGCTATATACAGATAAAGTGTGTGGGAGGAAGTAGGTGAGTGGGAGGGAGGGGGGGGGATATAGGGTGACAGGTAGGTATAGAGGGCAGCAGTGACTTATAATCTAACAAACGATTGCTCCCTAATTTACTTGTCATTATAAAAGTCCTTCAGCCATCATCTAATCTCGAGTGGTCAATAACCCCTGCGCCCTTTGTTGTAACGGGTCTCTAACCGTCCTTCAGCAGCACAATGTTGTAACGGGTCTCTAACCGTCCTCCAAATGTATATGTTAGTTGCCATTGTAAATGAATAACCAGCCTTACCAGCTGCTGGTTATATAATGCAGTGTCCCCCCCACCTACCATCATGTTTCCCATCCTGTCTACTTTTGCAACAACTTATTGACTTTTTTGTCTCTCCCTTCAGTGACTCTGGTCTATTACATTTGTTCACTGTTCTTACACTAAAGTCCTTTCTAACATCTCCCTAAGTCATCACCTCAAATTTCCATCTATATCTCCCATTGCTCTACCCAGCCTGATAATGAATATGTCCCATTGTTCTACCCTGCTTTATACTGAATATGTTCCATTGTTCTACCCTGCCTTATACTGAATATGTCCCATTGTTCTACCCTGCCTTATACTGAATGTCCCATTGTTCTACCCTGTCTTATACTGAATATGTCCCATTGTTCTACCCTGCCTTATACTGAATATGTCCCATTGTTCTACCCTGCCTTATACTGAATATGTCCCATTGTTCTACCCTGCCTTATACTGAATATGTCCCATTGTTCTACCCTGCCTTATACTGAATATGTTCCATTGTTCTACCCTGTCTTATACTGAATATGTCCCATTGTTCTACCCTGCTTTATACTGAATATGTCCCATTGTTCTACCCTGCTTTATACTGAATATGTCCCATTGTTCTACCGTCTTATACTGAATATGTCCCATTGTTCTACCGTCTTATACTGAATGCTCCATTGTTCTACCCTTATACGGAATATGAGTATTTTCTGTCTATCTTGCCGTCTCTCTTCTATCTCAAATTTTCAAGCGACATTAAGTCTAGCTGTCCCAGCCACTCCCCCCTCTCCCCCGTCCTCCGTCCTCCGTCCTTTGCAAGTGCGCGCACAAAAGTACATAAATTCTCTTTTAAGGTGTTGCTGAACTAGATCATCCGATGCTATGCAAAACTTTTATGTAAAATACTTGAGTAGACACCCTAAATCACACAAGTTATATTCTTATTAGTTATAATATTTAATCTTTAATTTATCTTACACATGTAAGATGAACCTAGAGGGAGAGGGAGAGAGAGGGAACGAGAACACTCAGGGGAGGTAACAGTAGGCTGGGCCAGGCCGGGCACGGGGGAGCGCCTCGCCCCCTCCTATTTGGGCAAGTGATGGTGGGGCACGTGACGCTTCTCCGCCAATCATAGCCCAGGATGCTGGCCCCGCCACGTGATCTGGATGAACCAATGAGGATAGAGGCGAAGCGAGAGCGTAAGAGTATGCCTCTAAGCCGGTACAGTCAGTCCCTTGGGCGAATTGACTGCACACGCCACCCGCGTCTCTCGAGCCCAATCTTTTTAGGTAAGTTCCCCGAAGCCTGGAGGATAACGCCGACGGGATCACCAAGTGGATGTTGGAGAACCAGCCTCCTCCTTGTCAAGCCCACAACCCCCATCACCAAAACGCCACCAACAAAAGCTTGATTTATTGATATTTGGCGCCGAATTATTACGATAGATAGTAGCAGTGATGCGAGTGTTGACTGTGATTATGCACAAGTGTCGGCAATGTTCCTTGCGCGGTACTGTGGCGAGGGAGTACTGAGGCAGACACCAGCACGGCCTCCATGCTCGTACACTACTAATGATACTCGCTCAGAAACCTCTCTTGCGACCACATTCTTGCTAAACACCTCTCAGAATCGGTCTGAAAAAGATATGATGGCTTCCATATGCCCAAAAGCACTTCTAAAGTATTACTGTAATATATATCAAAGTATGCTAATGGAGATTAACAATAAAAATTACAAATTAAATGAATATATAAAACGAAATATTCATATTAAAAATGTATATAATATTTACATAAAATATCCAAATGCTTATAAGTCTACGTGATCTCAGACTATCATTTTTAAGGCTTAGTTTGATTAGAGAACGATGTCAAAAATAACAGAATATATAAACGAAGAATGTATTTGAAAGATACAACGTAATTAGAAGATGATATTGCAAGCCATGGCGTAATTGGAGAATGAAATTGTAAACTTCAGCAGAATTTGACGTTCTTATTATAACCTGCCGTAATATTGCTGGGTGATATTGTCAGCAGCCACGTGATTGGTGGACCATATTGTAAAATGTAACCGTCTTGGTAGATATTGGTAGACATTGTAAACTGCAACATTATTGGCTGACAATATTATTAAGCAGCTGGCTGCGTTAATAGTGGATAATATTGTAAACTGCTTCGTGATTAGTGGAACTGGATGAACACGCTCGCTCTTCTCGACGTATGTAAACAAATTGCCTTGTTGGAACAGTCTGTGCCAAGCATTTCTTCTTGACTACTCACTACAGTAAAATTACCCGTGGGCGGCCCAGCTGCTTCCACGCCCGCCGCCATGGGTATTTTAAGACCAGGTGCGGCGGCTGAAGAAGAAATATGTGAGGGGGAGTCGTGAGGGGAAATGAAGATGATAGAAGGTACGAAAACCTTTATTTATTATTATTAACGAAAACAAGTATTTACTTTTTTAATTAGACGAATATCTAGATTTTGTATAGTTACTGTAGTTTGAGAATAAGCTTTTACAGATGTCAATTGTTTATAGAAAAAGTGGGGAGTAGATATTCAATGGTATACAGCAGGCTTTTTTTACATATATATATATATAAATAGCGGGTACGTATAGATCACCGAAATCCCAAATTAGATCATCTTACTAGGATCAATTGCGGGTAAATTTTATTATTTTTTTTTTAGAGACAAGCACCATGTCCAATTATTAAAGATAAATAGGGGAAAACGCAGACGTTTAAAGGTACTGCAATTCTTGGTTGTGGGTTAAACTCTGGTTTGTTGCACTAGGCTCTACTTGAGTGACCATTCTAAAGTACCCTTCTGACTCGACGCCAAATAGGGGGTGTGACATATTTTGTCGAAATCAGGGCGCCAAACTGGATCGCGGAAGCACATGTGAATGGAAATTATAGGTCACGGTTAGTGAACATGCCTGTAAACTGTTTTGTTAATCGAGGAGTTAGTAGAAGTGCTAGGATGATTGGGGACTTTGTTATTTGTAATGCTAAGATGATTAGATATTTCTTATTCGGTGAATTTCTTAGTAGAAACTTTTGTATGACTAGAAACTTGATATTTATACCAATTGGGTACATGAGGTTGCTAGTTGCAGAGCTAGAGTAAATGAAGATTGGACAATCCGGATAATCAGGATTATCGGTACTTAAACTTAACAGGACTTTAACGGTAGGATCACTGAGTTTTGATAGATTCAGTAATGAGATGAAATGATTTTAGCTAAGATGACTGAGGACTTATTAGTCGTACGGGAGAGATGAATGACAACTTCTTATACATAGAATTAAAAGGACGAGGATTTGTCATAGAGCTAAGATGACTGAGCACTTCTTAGTTGTAGGACAAATTGACCGGCAACTTGTTCGTTGTATAGATAAGATGATACAGGATTTGTTAGTCATAAGGCTAAAATGAATGTGGACTTAGTTAATCACAGGGCTGAGATGACTAAGGATGTGTTGTTAGCCGTTGGATGAGGACTTGTTAGTCGTAGGGCTAAGATGACTGAAGATGTGTTAGTTGTTAGGCTAAGCTGAATGATGACTTGTTAGTAGTAGGGCTAAGATGACTGAGGATGTCATTAGGCTAAGCTGAATGAGGACTAATCAGTTGTATGGTATAAATGTCAGAAGGCTTGTTAGTCGTATAATTTGCAAGACAAAACACCTACGAGGGATTGGTTATATATTTTGACTACATCACTAACTACGAATATTTAAATAAATTCATATATCAAATCATAGTTTCACATAATTATCCCTCATCGTTATTCACGAAACGGGGATATATATTTATATTGCAAAAATCTTGCAAATCAGAACAAAATGGGCTTAATGTAAGGTGTTTTTTGACAATCAAATAGAAGAAATTATCCAAGAACAGTCGAATTTATTTATAACAAGCTTCAATAAGCGCGAGAGCTTGATTCAAGATGCAGGAAAACTTGCACTTCGTTCATCAAGACAGCGGCTGAGAAGGTAGCATCGGGAAGGGAATAATACAGTAATGTATTTTCTCATGTTGCCATTGCAATTGTCGACATGACACAAAGTAGACCAGATTAGCTGAAGTTTTGGCTTGTTTGTATTGAGGGGAAGATGGGACAGGGTGGTAGTGTGTGAGGGGAAGATGGGACAGGGTGGTAGTATGTGAGGGGAAGGGAATGAAACTATAAGAGGAAAGCACCAAGCCATTACTACTAGTAAGGGGAAGTGCAAAGAGAATAGGGAGAACAAATTTATTTGTAGTCGGCCTCTGTGAAATAAAATTTACATTAAGGTTTAAGGCCTATCGCCAGGCAGGAATTTATTTATATCTATCTTTATTCGTGACAATTACTTTCTGTAAATGGGAGAAGGTGGACTTTGGCTGTTGACTTAAGCCTACAGATTGCTCGCCGTAACCTATGTGTTATGAAGCCTACTATTGAGGAGGTAACTTTGGGAATCCCCTGGAACGGGTCATATCTGGAGTGGGTTCTGGGAGTTATTTTACTCCCCAAGCCCAGCCTGAGGCCAGGCTTGACTTGTAAAGTCATGAAGAGTACTGCTGAATTTTCTTGGGTTGTTATGTTTATTTACTAAGTAATGACAAGCTGCTCCACTTGCGAGCTTAGCTCATGCAAGATCGGAAGATCGGAGCAAGTGGTCATTGGTAGTTCGTGATACACTAATTTCTGCAGCAATATTTTGTTCTTGTGGGGCAGGGGTGGGAAGCGAGAGAAGAGATAGAAGGGGAAGTAAGGTTATTGGTACTTAAAAACTTTACACACAACTTGTAGAATGTGGAATAACGGAGGGTCGTGTATTTTCGTCTGCCAGGATCTTAAGAGATCTGGTTTCAGTGTAGTCTTTATCATGTTAACGGGTAGCATAACAGACGTGGGTTCTTTGGATTGTCTCAAGCTTAGGCTAGAAATATACATGAATAAGAATTTGTGGATATAAATAGGAGCTGTATGTATTGGCCAATAGGCCTTATGGTTTGATGAATTCATTATACAACAGTGCGGGATTTATCCACCCTGAGCCTTAGATCTATATTGAACTTATGGTGAGAATCTGGCTTGCTCTATCTTTAGAATATAATTTCCTACTCCCTGTCTTCGTTGCCGCATTACGTCAGAACGTTCGACAAATATGTTGCCCAAGGCTCAGAAATTTAAAAAATGTGTGAAGCACGTAAGGTAGCGTTACGTAATTTGTCAACTACTTTTTTTTCCTTAACTGAAGACTTGGTGTGTAAGGGGGGGATACTATTTTTTTTTGGGGGGGGGGAATGGTCGTTCTTGGGGTTTAACCGAACGCCTTCTATTTAGGAAATGTTGGAACGAAGTAAAACAAAAAGCTAAGAAATGAGGTTATTGGTACTCAAGCTGCACCTTTTTCCTGCGCACTTCTCCGCCCTAAGAGCCGGGCGAAGCCAGAAATAACCGCGGATGTCTGCCGGTTCAGCAGGCTGGGGGATTCCACCCTTTCCCCACATTCACCCACCCCTACTTACCTCCCTACGCCCAATACTCCTTTCATACCAGTCTTTAATGGGCCACCGAGCTTTCATCTCCCCTCTTCACCTCATCTCCAGATCCTTGCTCAAGATTTCTGCAGCCTCGCCCCGTTCTTCCATCCCCTGCTTGCCAACTCTATGGACATTTTTACCAGTCTTTAACCATAGAGTCTCAGTTGCTGAATTCTTACTCGATTCATGCATGTTTCTATCTCTTAAATTCTTCAAATACTTACGATATCAATCACTAAAAATGAAATATATTTAGCATTCAAAAATAGTTGCACACAAAATATATGACAAAAAAGTTTCAAAATCAAACGCAAAATATAGATTTGATCAAATTATTTTTGTGTGCCAGGTGCAAATTAAGGCTCGGTTAGTAAGACATTTAGAGACTTAAGGCAGCTGATCTCGATACAAATATATATCGGTACTTTTGGTCTACATAACGCTGGCATTCACAGACATACATTGTATTCTAGTAAATGTGCCCACGTTATAAGCCGATATTGGGTTTTATCAAGCGTTTCCATGTCATATACCGATATTGTATTCTAGTGAATGTATCCGCGTCATATACCTATGTTGTATTGTGGGGAACGTGCCCAGATCATATACCGATGTTCTATTGTTGGGAACGTACCTAGCTCATATACCCATGTTGTATTCTGGCGAACATACCCACGTCATATTAATGTTTTATATGACGTCAATCCGCCACATCCGAAATCGTATATGCTGTTGTAGGCTGAGAAAGTACGTAGGATAAGTTTCTGATATACTGACTTTTGTTTGGTAAAACGACTTAGACAAGATTCCAGTCTCACTTGTTCTGTGGTAGACCATACTATTGCTTCGATTTAAATTACAACTTATCTAGCGAGTGAATGTAAGATTTACGATATATATATATATATATATATATATATATATATATATATATATATATATATATATATATATATATATATATATATATACGATGTGGTAGACATTTTTGATTTTGTGGTGTTGAAGCGTTCAAACAAATGCACAGAAACAAATACATGTAAATCCTAAATGAATTAGTTTAATTGCACAATTCTTATTCATAGTGTCATGCACATATCGGAACCCGATATAAATCGTTTTGTTTTTATATCAAGCATGGGCTAAAGTTCCTTTGATATCTAATAAATACCAGTATTAATTTCCGGTCAGATTCTCAGTCGCATACTTGAACAATTTTTGTTGTACGAGGCTAATGTCAAAACAAATTCAGTAGCAATTATAGTTATTTTATGTTCGAATAAAAACAATGGCTAAACCGATGAATGAGTTTTAAAGCAGCTGGAAACAGTGGAAGCTTGAAGGCCGTGTTTGGCAAGGGTCAGATATCAGTATCCATTTATGGCCTGGCTAGAGTAGAAGCAGCCAGCAGCCGCCAATGTTGGCACACTAACCCGCCCACCTTGCCAACACTTCCTCATAACCTCACACACTTATTTGACACTATTTTATGACCCAACGAATGTTGATAATCGTTCATTTAGTAAATTGCCAACTGCACAAGCTCCGTTTTGAGAAACGACCAGCTAATTCAAGAAATATCAAGATATATGAATATATCGAAGGAATTTGGAAAGAAAATCATTTGGATATCCCTATACGATAAGATATAAACATATTATGGAAAATAAACCTGAAAATCGAAAGAGAGATAGAACTAAGATAATTAAAAAAGATAATATTATATATATAATATATATACTAAACATTCAGTTTATAAGTTAATGTTGATTATACAGTACTTACTGTATAGTCAACTATTGCGTGTCAAATGCAAGAAATTGACAAGACTAATAAAGAAATTCAAAGCATCTTTGGTGTGATGTAATTTAGTCACAATATTAGAAAATATACTCTTGAAGCTCTGAGAGAAATACTCAATATTAAATTTATATTTATTATGAACAGTCGTGTTAAGCGCAAGAATGTTAACCAGAACTTGAAAATGAACTTAGCAAGCAAGAAGCAGCGTTTGTAGATAATGACTTTAAATTGCATACGTGGAAAAATAAGCTCTCGCTGATACAACAATTATTCTAATCCCTTTCTTTCTTTTCCAGATTTATGCCATTTTGAATCAGTTCAATTACAGTTTAAGTTGTATATTTTAAGTTACTAGCTTCTATTTTGACATTATTGAACTTCAGTGCTCTCTAGTATCTATTTTAACTTTTATCGTCAACTAGCAGTTTCCATACAACAGTTCAGTACTTGAATATAAAGTTTGTGTAGTCATGAATGTATAAGTGATACAGTACAATTTGAGCATTATATCATCAATTAAAAGTACAGTGGATAAAATTAAATTTACATTGATTGTAGGTGCATTTTTACTAGGAGTTTTTTGCTTAAACTCTCTTTTTTGCTTTTCTCATGATTTAGGACAATAAGTAACCTATGACTTTAAGATAGCAAACAACATTAAAATATATATACTTCCCCCCCTCTATTTTGCTTTTGAGAAATGATTTAAAATTTAAAGTTATTTTATGTCCATTTGATGATTTTAACAAACGACGAATTCCAAGATATAGCAATAACTCAATGTTAAATCTCATAGTTGCCACTTCACAGGTATAAACATTAAAAGAAATTCCTACCTAGGCTGTGTACAAGAATTAGTTATTAAGTACATGAACACTCAACATGCTATTCCAAATCCCAGGACAATTTTAATGATTCCTAGAGCACACCAGCTCGAACCTAAAGTTAGCTGTGTAAAGTTACATAGAATTATATTTAAGTGACACACACTTCTTATTTCCTGTGAGGGTTTAAGGCCGCAAGGCTATCGTAGCCTATCGTAGCCTCAACATGAAGAGTAAGTAGCCTTGGTGTTGATGACAACCATGTTTGGAGTGGTGGTCCCTTTCCCCCTCTCCTCCTCCCATACCTGCTTCTCAACCTCAACTCATTTTCAACTGGCAAACAAACTTGAATCCTATTTACGGGATATTCGAGCCCGTGCCACCTCTTGGATGGCTTAACCTTTATCAATCTTAAATCCTATATTCTATCCTCAATTTACAGGATAAAATACAGGATTCACTAAATTCTTTTTAGTGTCACGAAAGGTTACGTGTCATATTAATACAACTTAATCATCTTTCAAAGACTTTATTTGCCAGTTGAGTGACGTCATTATATACAAGGCCTGTTGGGTGACTTGGAAATAAGTCAGCATTTCTATGATTTAATTTCAAGCATTCCAATTTGACACTAAGATGTTTGGTTTACATTTCATAACTATTACTTTGAACAGACTAAAAGATAATTTGTTACATTTTCGTTTGGTATAGTATTATTATTTTGTCTTATTCAGTATTATAAAATGCCATATTTAAGTAATTTTCCTTACAAACCCTATAATGGTTTATAGAGATGTCATTCTGAGCTTAAAATACTCTGCTTAAAAAAGGTTATCACCCTATGTGTAACATGGACAAAAAACCGTCCTAATGAAATGAGCTTATGTGACTCAGAATAGCCTCTCATATGGCAGTTGAGTTAGATGCTTTACCATAGCCCAGGTTTCAAGGGTATCGTGAATTACGATACATTTTCTCCCTTTCCCCCTTGCCTCTGGTAAGACGCTAACTCATCACTAATGGTGTTTGCTGTGCATTTTATTTATTTTTGAGGATAAAAACCTAATTGCATAATAAACATGTTAACAGAAGACAGATCACGCTAATCTAAAAATTTGACAGAACCAAAACAACTAGTGAGGTTAATTAAATAAATACAATTGTAAAATTAAATAATCATATTCATCGCAACTTTCATATTCCGTGATGACTGACATTCGCTGGTTCCTGAAAGCAAGATTTCAGCAACTCAGCCAGTCTATTAAACCCTTGTTAAGCGCTTTTTTTTAAATTATGTAAATATTGAAGACAGTAAGTCACAAAAAACGTGGCTAAACATTAGACACACATAACCCACGCATCTGAAAGTAAGGGAAGTAACGTTTCGGTCTGTCCTGGACCACTGTCAGGTCGAGTATACTACGAGATAGTGGTTCTGGACAGAGCGAAACGTCGTCATTTCCTTCATTTTGAGACGTGTGGGTTGGGTGTCTGTAAATATTCCTTGCATGATTGCCTTATAAACAAATGAATAATTAACTTATATATTATATATACCTAATCAAACTTTGTAAATGTAAATAGTAATAAAGAAGAACATTGCTTCGAAGACGGCTTTAAATTTACAATAATCTTAATATAGCGAGTTTCTGCATTCTATTATCTGGAGTGTTACTTATAACGACCAAATTTCATACAAAATACTGAACAAATTCTTAAGTTAATATAATAATTATAATTTAAATATTAATTTGCAAAGTTTGTGACTTACATTTTAGTTATGTTACATCTACCTCTGCGTTATATTTTTGCTAAGCATATTTATTTTTCCAAGCTTTATTTTATTGATTTAATATTTCTTACTAACGCCAAGCATCTCTCATTTCCAGTTCCTAAACCTTCCCACACATCAACACCATGTCATCTGACGAGGAAGAGTACAGGTAAGCTCTGATTATGACTCTAAAAGAGGACAGGAGAAGAAATGCACACACACACACTGAATTGGGACATCTAGGTTACTGGAGAAGACTGTATAGACTTGGGTTACGCTATTCTGGGATTTGTGGAACACAAAGCTCAGATGCACATAATGAACACTTGTGTGGGACACAGCTTTTGACACGTGATTTCGTTTTGGACCAGAACGTGAATATACGATACGTCAAGCATCGTTCTCTCACTGCAAGTGATACAGTAAGCATCATTCTCTCACTGTGATACAATAATTTACTTGAGTAACGAACACCTCTTAAGGACATGTTAATCCAAAGTTTCACGAATTAAACATGCTTTCAGAGGATTGGGACACTTGGAAGGGATACAGTGGAAAATTCTTGCAACCAAACTTTGCCAACCCATCAAGCTGATATCGGAGTTGAATTTATTACAAATGACTGGTGGCCATTTGTTAGCTGCTGCCTTTCGCTGACCAATAGACAGCACGTTACAAATGTTGCTCTCGTAAGATTATAACATTTTCATGCACTAAAGATCACTTAAACCTGCTAGATACTGGAGGAGAGCTCGTCGTAGTACGAGCCCTCAATGCCACCTATATACTGCTATACAGGTGGCAAGGACAGGAAACTCAATGAGGTCTCACTGACCTAGACAATAAACACTATTATAACAAGACATCAACAGTAAAAAAGTCAAGAGTGTTTAGATTAGTTGCCCTTCTCCACCGTTGGTCACTCCCACATGTACACACATATACATCATATGACGAAGAGGAATTGGCCACTATGAGACAACTTAGAGTAGGATCAAGAAAAAAAAACCGATCATTTAGAATCTGCAATCATGTAAAGATCTAATTTTCTTCCCCTAGGTATATAAAAAATCGACGAGCTGCCGTATGTCAAGAAATATATATATATAGAATTTTGTGCACTAATCTCTATTTTTTTCCCTCAAATAGCAGTTCAGAAGAAGAAGAAGACACCATGGCGGACGAGGTACAAATGTTGTTCCATTTCAGACTGTAACACTTTTTGTATTAAATAACACGAAACTCTAATAATATTAAACAACCCAACCAAAACTATGTGACAATAGCCTAGGACAGTACGTGGCCTCGAGTGTGATCAACAGGGTGACAACGGTAGGTACACCGTTCGTAACATGACCAACCCAAACCTCACAAAAATCCACCTTGCAGCTTCGTATGGAGGGCTATATCAGTTTTTTGGGGGCCCAAACTGCACCTTATTTCTTGATAAAGTAAAATTAGTGCCTCACAAATTTGTGTTAAATATTAAGTACTAATGTGTACTTCGGGGCTGGTATACAAATCCTGTCTAGTACCAATGTCCATTCTCCTCACCCTGTTTCCTCATAGAAGTTTGCCATAATTTTTTCAGTAATAGTATCCCTCTCTCTCGCTTTTACTCGATTATCTAGTTTGAAGACGTTTCCGGAGGTACATTTCGACTATAGTAAAGATTTAGTTATACAGAAAGAAACAGTTGGAGCATTTAATCTTTGCAAACTACATACAGACATACAGCAAGTTCTATTTCAATAATTCGGAAATTTGTGACTTTTAATTTCAGCTTATATCTTTTTTCTCCATTTTGTATTTTCAGTTGAACGGAAGCCAAAATTTCCTCATATTTATTTTGTCTGTCGTGCGAAAACTGGACTTACATTTGTTCTTATTGACATATAGAAAGGCTAAACATAAAGATTAACATTATACAGACTAGAAATTATTTTCACAAACACATTGTACATAAGATGTTAGTTTGGTGGGATGGCTATTAAGACCACGCTGTAAGTGCTAACTGGCCAACTAGCAAATATCCTTTAGTAGTGCGCATAGTCCAGGATTACAATAAACACTCATTGTATATATACACAGGGATATGGAATACATTTCTTGGTATATCCCCTTTTAAACGCTCTTGTTATAAGTATTTTTAAATTCACACAGAATTATAAAAAACGACAAATGCAGTAACCCCTCAGAAAAAAATCTGAGAGTTCTTCAATATATATCAATACTTATTGACACACATTTTAGTAATATATGCTTTAGCATATTTTGTTTTGTTCGCAATATCTCTGGTGCTTAATTTTTTAAACTAGGGGTCATCGATTATAGTACAACCACTCCCCCATCCTTTCCAATCCCTATGGACATCAAAGCTAAAGCTATAGTACAACCTTTTATTTTGTGGAAGTATTCCCAGTTTCTATTATTCGCTGCTCAATATATCAACAGGAGTCGATCCCTGAGCTAACATGGTAGTAGGGAAGGACATTTTTTTTTGTCTTGTAGGTTAAAGCTATGATGGGATATGGAAACTGCTTGGCATTTCCAAGTCTCGTATTGATGTGTGTGTGTGTGTGTGTGCAGTGCAGGTTTCCAATTGTGTTTAATTTGTATTTTTCTTTTGAATAATTTAAGCGAAAAAGAATTGTAAAATATGACATAAAGGTAATTTAATATGTATTAAGAATGGGAAGCTAATCTATCAAGTGTTTTATTAAGAAAAGAAAATTTGAACTACCATTTGATCTAAATTGCTTTTATGTCTATATTTTACGTTTTATTTCGTTGATTTATAATCCCAAGTGGAAATGTAACATTCAAATATATCTCAAGCCTTATGTGATTGAGAGTTGCCAAGTCTTAACACAAAAATGACGTTTTATTATTAAGCAGAGAGTGCAATTACATATAATTTACATTATTAACAGCACAAACCATTAAGTAGGACCCAATTAAATAACTATGACATTTTGAAAGCAGAATAGAGGCGTTTGCACAAATCATTCCACAATTGCTTTGTCTTAACATCTTTCTGTGGTGTGACTTCAGCAGCTTTCAATAAAACTATATAAAAAACCTTTGCTATCGGACTCACAATGACCGCTGATCCAGCCCGTTCTCTTGATCTGCCACAACGTACAAAATACAAAGTCCTAACCTAACCGGAAAAGTACAAACCAAAGTCACCCACCTAGCCTAACGTACCGATGCATAGAAAACGTATATATTTTGAGCCGTTGTTTTCCCTAGTACTTTGTAATGTGTACGTTGGAGACTATAACGTACAAAATGAGACGTATTAGTTGAGAGGCAAGTTGATCAACCCTCATAGGTCTTTTCTTCCTCCCTCCACGCGCCCTGTCACAAATACTTCCTATCATGGAAGAGGTTACAAACACTAAATATTTTCTAATCAACTTGAGTTCTCTAAGCTCTCACATCTTGGACATCAGACATAAATGTGATACAATTGTAGTTCGTGGAGAGGAAACGAGATCTGTGGGGGGAAGAGCGGCCCCGGCACCTCCACTCCTAGACCTTGCTCCTTAAGACTTTCTCAGTGCTTCACACCGCTTTTAGATATCGAACTTGAGTTAGGCTTTGAACCTGAGCATGGGATGCTACCGGTCTTGATCCTTAAGACACCATGGTCACACGCTCGCCAAGTTTACAAACTAAATATACATCAAATAGATCCCCAAAGTATTAGTGCATCTGGAAAGGTATATAATCCTATTCAAATTATGGGAGTATATAGTTAAATATTTGTAGAGATAATAAGGCCAATCAAGTGAACAAGTCAACATTGGTAGCAGTAACGAGATCTTGGAGGTGTCGGGTCCTAACATGTGAAGCAGGAGGATCATTAAAGATTTAACACGATGTAATATAGGAAGAGGAGACAGTCTTAACGCTCTGTAGGTAAATGGGGGTCGATGCAACTGCATGTGTGAGCCTAATGAGGAATGTTGTATGTTTCGGTCCCTCACAGCAGCGAGGAGGAGTCATCCGAGGAGGAACGCGAAGATCCCGCGGTCGTAAGTTGTCCTCAACACTAACACACTAACCCACCAACAAACCAAGTCTCTAACACTGGCTTGCGGGCAAAATATGTTTCAGTAACGTTAAATCAACGTAGGATCAACGTTTTTAATGTTGATTTAATGTTACGTCAATGTCGTTTGCCCACATTTGGCCGGGAAGTGGCTTGGACGGTCCTGCCACTGACCGCCAGGCTGTTACTTTCCCTCATGGGACACCAGCCTTGGGAAATTGACTAGCCTAGCTCGCCACAATGCTAAACTAAATTCACTTTGTCACTAAATTCATCTTTATTCAATTATCAATTATTTTAGGGAGCAGATTAAATGTAGCACCTCAAGACTAATTGTATTTTGTTCTATTCTCACAGGAATTTTATTCGTTCATTGTAACTTGGAATTTTTATCTTCCAGGATTCAACAAGTAAATAAATCGTCCGCATGTTTAACACAATTATAAACAAATCGACGCTTTAGAAATTGTTACACATATTATTGGATACAATTATAAAAATAAACAATAATTTAAACTAAATATATATATATATATATATATATATATATATATATATATATATATATATATATATATATATATATATATATATATATATATATATATATATATATATATATATATATATATATATATATATATATATATATATTTATATATATATATGAAAAAACGTAAATAATTTAAAAAATAAATGGTTTTAAAAGGTGTTGACATGGCTAGGCATATCCCTGGGCTGGTGTTTTAAGGTATTTAACAAAAAATGATCTAAATTTGCCTTTTTTCCTGGCATCAATATGCGTATTCAAAGTAAACAATTTAGCCATACATTTTGTTACTCATTTAAATCTACATATTTACCCCCCATGAAGGAGGGTTTCAGCCGGTCATGATTGTTTAGTTCCAAAACAATATATAACCCTAATTTTAAGATAATTATCATATATTATATCTACTTCTATAAAAAAGTAATCTGTTACTATAACGTAAATTTTATCACAAATACTCAATTTAGGTCAATGTGACTATCATAGTTAAATATTCCCAGATAAAGTAGCTTTATAGATGTTCCTGATAACTTTAATAATGAATTTTATATATTACAGGAATTATCAAATGAGATGAGTCATGGTAACTGTAAGACAGTAGAAGTAGTTTGAAATAGATATGTTGAGAGTAGAAGTAGAAAACACTTAGATTTAGAGAACCCGTCAATGACACTTGTGCTGTATAATTGTCTGGCGATACATGCATCTATGTTTACCGTTGTTTTTTGGGGCAAAATACATGCTTTTTTATTTTGTATTTGTTGTAATTTTGCATATAATGTATTTTGCAATAGGCGGTTTATTACAGCACAACGTTCTGCCTGTTCCCTGTGGTTCGTTTGTTGAGGTCCCTGATCCCGTATCAAGAAATCCGGTCAGACTCTCTGTCAATCAAGATCAGAACTGAGAAAATAAACGAATGATTAATGAGCTACTCGAGATGCGAGTCTACTGTCAGTCAATTTAGAAAGCATAAATTATATAATTTTACAATATGAAATTAGGTTACACTCCGGCAATCACGAAAAAACAAAAACAAACAGGTTTTTAATAATTTTCGAAATTGAAAATAAAACCAAATTTGAGTCGGTCTTCAATAAGTGGAAAAGCGTAATATATTGTAATTCATAAAGATATGTAAATAATTTATCATTGGTCATTTGAAAAATATTACTAAATAAACAGACTCAAATTAAGGAGTTGAAAAATCGGCCAACCATTTATTAATTGAACTTGAATAGAACATATTTTTTACTTAATGTGTTTATTTTAATATATTTGTAGCTGAATGCGCCGTCATTCAGGTGTAAATGCAAAAGTTCTCAGTACAGTTACATTTACACAAGAAATATTAAATTGCTTGCATTATATTAATATTAAATTGCTTGCATTATATTCTACTGATAATATTTGAACAAAACAGCGTTTGTGAGCATCACTTTTCTAATTACTCCTGATTCCTTAAGTTTTCTTCTAATGTATATTTACATTTACTATTATTTTGGTTATTTTCAATTGGCACCATTTCTGCCATTTTTATCATTTTTATGACTATTTTTTCTTCGTTATATCTAAGTTTACCCAAAGACTACTGCTTTCTCCCAGACTGACAAGCTCATACTCGATAATAACTACCCAACGAATGTTAGAAACATTTTTTGCAATTAAAAATGTTTCCTGACCTAACATAACCTCGGAAATGACCCCGAGTCGAGGTCACATTCGTAAGTGTCTAATAAAAAGACATCTGGAGAGCAGCTCTACATACCCCCCTACAGGGAGAGGAGCTCAGCCTTGTTTGACCTGAGTCAAACAAGGTATATTAATGGTCTTGTTGAATGTGAAGTGAGTGAGTGTGTGTGGGACTGTGTGTTTACATGCTGTATTAAAAGCATGCAGAAGATCGGACCCGCACACAGGCACTTGCTTGAATGAATTAAAATTCTTCCATTGAACTTCTTGAGGACGCCTATCGAGATCATGTTGCCCCAAATTATTTATGCAGTAGGACGCATAAATAACCATAATACCGTGTGTATGACCGTGTTGAAGCACCTTTGTATAAAAGTGACAGCGTGTGTATACAATGAAAAATCTGTTGTGTCAGTCAGTATGAGCGTGTATTCCCGTTAATGTACCTGTTTCGTTTGTCTGTTGTGTCTGGCACACCGTTTGTTGTGTTAGCATGTTTGTAGGCTCAAGGACGGTGCTGTAAGTGACCGCTCCTGGCCTGAAGCACCACCACTCACACCACCTTCACCATCTCTCCCCAACAGAAGGCAAAAGCAGCCGAGGTACTTGCTAGACAACAGGCTTTGGAAGTATGTCTTTGGTTGGTGTTCACTACTAACTGCATGCGGGGAACCATACTGGCAAAATAATGAAAGAGTATATTGGATTCATAATAAAGTTCAGTTCTCACATCATATAAACTGTGAATTAAAATAAGACATAGTATAATTGATGTAAAACAAATAGCAATTGCATTGCACTTTCTCATTGGTCTAATCAAATGCTTTATATATTTAGGGCAGTTGCCATTATTCTTACTTGATATAAGTTTATTAATAAAAGCGTTAAAGGTAAAGTTCCACGTTGTGGACGAAGCCTCCTCAGCCAGGAGGACTTGAGGACCCTCCGGCCCCCAACCTGACTTCACGTTTATGTCACCTGATGTCTTATGAGGTCACGTGACTCGACGTGAGGCCACAAAAAAAGAGGTCATGGGCTTCCTGCCAGCACCCCCGAGTTTGGTAATGTGCAGGTCCGCCCGCCACAATACTGGGCGTGGCTCCTGCTCCCTACACGCCCACCCACGCTCATCGAGTCCTCACTCCACCCTCGCGACTCTCCTCATCCACAGCTGATAAATCACGATATTTATTATCTCAGCTCCTGAGCCACGAAGCGAGCGTAACAACCGTGCCAAGGAATGAGCATAACGATATCACTTATCAGCTGACTCGTCACAGATATTATTATCTCCTACCGTGCCAGGGAACGAGCATAACAATATCAGTCAGCTAGTCATCATCTCTCCTATAATGATGTTATTATCTCAGGCCCCTGTGTCAAGGACTAAGCATAACACCTGTACCAGGGAACGAGAATAAAATCATCAATATTAGCTGAACCGCATGATATTATCTCTAATCCGTGGCATGAAATGAGCATAACATCACTCGGCTCTCACTGAAAGAGTATGAAAGACTAGAACCAACTGAGGCGAGCAGTGGTGGCCACAAGGATGAGGCTGGTGTCCAGTGTGGCCAGGCGAGGCTCAATGTGCCGTGTGGCCCGGGCTACGTACCCTCCAACCCCAGCGGCCCACCGGCGATGGACGGTCCAGGGGGCTCACAGCACCACTCACCAACCTATAAAATCTTCCCCAACAACCCCCAACTTGTCTTGTCCGAGACAAGATAGATAATTTACAGATATCTGCACTGATAATTTAACAATAACAAATTCAGTGTTCTCACCCTATCCCAGTTATGGAATATTAAAAATATCTTCCAAGTTTTCCTGTCAGCTTCTTATAACTCGGAATGATTCTTCAGCGATTCTCCTTCACATATACTGTTTTACATCATTATTTTTATTTATAATATTCGAGTTTTGTTTTTATTTATACGATATCCTGCCTGTTCTCTTCCACCCGTTGGCCGGACTCCACCATTCACAGCTTTAAGTATACAATTAATATAGTTAATATTTTAATGTTCATAAACTAAAGTATTTTTTTGGCCGCAGTGCATCAGTCCTCACTGAAGGAGCCTTGGTGGTGAGTCGGGCTGCCCCCTTCAGCCCTCCGTCAGTGCTGAGGGCTGTGTTGGGGCGCCGTGGCCAGCCCCAACACCAAGCCCTCAGCACCCGTGGGGGTGATTTGGAGGTCAGAGCGCCACCCTTCCTCAACTGCCAGTTAGTTGTACAGTTCGCAGACGGAAATGTTCAGCTTGTGGTCTTAGATTTCCTAGTAGTTCCACTCTTAAGCAGGTCATACGTGACAGCTCATTCGCTGTTCATACCGGTTATCCTTTGTATCTAATTCAGATTCTTACAATTTCACTCACAAATTGTCCCAAGATAATTTGTTTGACTTAATCAGCTCAGTTCTTACCCATATCGTTAGAACTTTAAATAATGCTAAGCGATTAACATAAATTAAAATGTTCACATTTTTAAACACTTCTTACCCAAAAAGTATCGTAAATTACATTTTTGTATTTTTAAGAATTGGATATCGATGAATATGTTCAAAGTTACGAGGCTTTCCGTAACAAATTATGTTAAAGAGTAAACAAAACGATTAAATCAATATTAAAATAAAATTTAAGAAGTGGATCGAGTCTTGAACACATTAATGTTCTCTTATAAATATAAGTACTTTTGTGAATAATTGATCATGGACACATTACTATGTGTTTTCAGGGGACGAGCTTTGCAACTCTGGTTATTCACCTATAACTGCGCAGTCGTGGGTGGCGGCCTGATACTAGACCAGTCTTCCCTAGTGTAGATAATCCCCACCAAAGAAAACAAAAAACGATTGAATCTCGTTAAAAAGTGTTAAATCTTAAAGTTTGTTTCTTTATTTCTGCACGGGTTTACTTCTTAAAGTTTTTGTTTATAATGTAACCAGTTCCGCTCTTCCCCAACCCCCCCCCGCCTTCCCTCCCTCCCAACTCCCTCCCGTCAATTCAAAGAACCCAATCTTCCGTCCATCACCTCCCTGTTACTCCCTATATCATTTCATAACATTCCCTCCCTTAATAGCTACGATTTTATAACGTTATCTCCACTAATTTTGTTATTTCTTTATTTTTTTAAAGACTACTGATAGTCTTCTTTCCCTCCCACTAGTGTACTACAAGTTACACAAACACATCAAGATTCACTTAGTCGCTCAAATAAATTTATCGAACCGCAGATAAAAGAAACAAGTGCAAATTTTTTTTTAGCTTGTCGTTAGTGACCGAATATCAGCAATATAAATGAACTTAAGTTAATAAATTGATGTAGTATAGGATTAAAGGATTTGATACTATGGCTTAACCATTGTTTTAACATTCAGAAGAATGCCCATTCTTAACATCTAAATGATTATTGAATATATTCCCCCCCATTATAAGGCCTCAGTGATAGATTTTAAGGGACAACGTTAGATAAACACGAAGGAAGGATTTAGCTCTCCTTATTTATTTATATATAAAGGGCCAAGAACAGTGCCTTCAATACCCCAGAACACATGCATCACGCCTCCCTCCCGCCACCATTATCAGGAACTGACCTTTTAAGATCTCCCGTAGGATGCCAAGAGGAAGCAGGATGATATCGACAGGAAGAAGGCCGAGGTGCGCAAGCGCCTGGAGGAGCAGAGTCTCAAGAAGCAGAAGAAAGGCTTCATGACTCCAGAGCGTAAGAAGAAGCTCAGGGTAAGTGATTCGACTTTAATCTTGTCTTGATGTAGGTGAAGGCTTCAGGGCAAGAAAGGACAAACACAATATGTAGATAATAAAATGTTAAAAGATAAAAAAATCACCTACCCTACCCCTTAAAAAGACCTTCACTTGTAGTCCTCAATAGGTAACATATATATATATATATATATATATATATATATATATATATATATATATATATATATATATATATATATATATATATATATATATATATATATATATATATATATTGTCGTAGTGTCTATCTTTGTGTACGCTTCTGCAGTTCTTTCTATTGGAAAATTTATTCCTAAATATAAGGCAGGTTGTGACAGTAATAATACCGGTAAATATCCCTACAACTTGAGGATAAAGCCAAGAGTGGGTGAGGGTGTTGACACAATTTCGTACTTTGAGAGGTTCCTCACTGTAGGAATGTGAAGTGCCAAACTTAAAGATAATAAGTTATAGAGGAATATAATATTAACTATAATTTATATATGTAAAATATTTTTAGTTTTAAAAAAAGTAAAGATTTGCTTTCTGTCATTCACCATTCACAAAAGAATACATTGATGTGATACATTGAATACATATATACATGATACATTGATACAATACATGATACATTGAATACATATATTGGAAAAAAATTATTTATTTATGCATATACAAGAAGGTACATTGGGATTGTGAGGATACATAATATGGCAATTACAATCTTGTAAAGCCACTAGTACGCGCAGCGTTTCGGGCAGAGCTGTAATGTAAATGTACTTATAATAATAATATAATAATAATAATTTTTATTTAGGTAAGGTACATACATAAAGAGATTTTACAAAGTTTGTTGGCTTTATAGATAGAGCTAGTACATACAATGCCTAAAGCCACTATTACGCAAAGCGTTTCGGGCAGTGTAAATAAGCTTACCTTAGAGATAAATCATACCTAGACTTAAGACCTTGTGGAATATCCCTCAAGGAGCTGACCCTCCCGCAACGAAACCTTACCCCTACTGATGTCTCCCTCCACAGCTGCTCCTCCGTAAGAAGGCCGCTGAGGAACTAAAGAAGGAACAAGAGAGAAAAGCTGCCGAGAGGCGCAAGATCATTGACCAACGTTGCGGCCAGGCCAAGAACCTGGATGGTGCTAATGAAGGTAGAGACGACGAGGTGAAGGGGAGGGAGGGAGGGAAGGAAGGAAGGAATTATCAAGGGAAAGCGCCAAGCCATTACGACTATATAGCACTGGGAAGGGGCCAGGATAAGGATTTGGGATGGGACGGGGGAAGGAATGGTGCCCCAACCACTTGGACGGTCGAGGATTGAACGCCGATCTGCATGAAGCGAGACTGTCGCTCTACCGTCCAGCCCAAGTGGTTGGGTAGGGAGGGAGGGAGGGAGGGGAAGTGTATGATGGGGGAAAGAGGGGAAATAGTTGAGGATGGAAAAGGGCGAGAGAGAAACAATGGAAGGGAAGATGTGTCAGATGAATAATAGGGAAGTAGGCAAAATGAGGGCAGGTATGAAGTCAAATAAACCCGAGAATTTAAAAGAAGTCAGTGTACAGAGGGAAAGACAAAACTACAAGAGGAAGGTAGGGATGAAGATAGAAGGTATTGGTAATGGAAATAACGAAGATAATTAAAAGACAAAGGTATGTAGGGGTAAAGGATTCAAGTATAAGCTTTTTAAATGACAGGATAAAGGGTATTTTATATAATGAAGGAAGATACGCAGGTTTAACACAGGTAGAACTGAAGGGCACAATAAGAGGGAGAAACCAAGGATTTAAATGATCGATACATTAGGAAATAATATACATGGATAAACGAAAGAGAACTAAAAGCTGTAAATTCTCCGACAAAAATCTTTGGGGAACCCTATCGCAGACTTGGCTTGTTAGTAATGTGAAAATTAATCATTTTGCCCTTAAGAGTAAGGTAGACAGATGCTGGAGTGAGGCAGGACGCAGACGAGACCACCACCACCAGCGCTGACCTACATGTATTGTATATGTGTAGAGATGTAGTGTATTAGCGCCTGTGTACAGTACACCTGCACCAGACACCTATACCCACGCATATATACAGAGTACACACACACACACACACACGCATAAGTGTATATATGAATGCGCTGCATATTGTACACTTATTTCACGGTGCTCTCTTCAACATATTTTATACGTAGGTGATCACATACACCAACATACAAACAAATACAATTTATACTACGCATATAAAAATATACACATATTCTCAACACACTAACTAATACAACTCACACTACATCCACTCATACTTCAACCAGTCCTCAGGGGATTTGTACCTTCGTGGTAATCACTTCAAAATCGCTATGTAATCAGTGTTGTTATCTACTCACTGTCCATAGTTAGGTTAAGTTTAGGTTAGGTTTGATTAGGTTAGATCAAAACAGTATTAGTCTTATTCGCGTGACATTCGAAAACTATTTTAGTATCCCTATAGTTTCACATGAAAAAAAAACCTTGGTCATATCACAGAAAATAATTTTAACATAGACTATATTTTAAATCATCGATTTATAATACAATACAGCTATAACTTAAGAATATTCTATGTTTAGGACAAAGGCTTAATTTCCGGTTTACAATTAGATTATTACTGGAAGCATAACATGTTTTCAGACCGTCACAACTATGTAGATAAATATCCAGGTGGTGTGAGGGGGGAGATTGGTGTCTCATGGTAATCACTTTACCCGAGGATGGGCTGGCATGCCTACACACTCGCCAACACACTTGCCTACACACTTGCCTACACACTCGCCAACACATATACAAAACTCAACAGTCACCTACACACTCTACAGGCCAACAGATCAGAGTCCACAAACCCACACTCGGCAGTTAACGGAGGACAAAAAAGACTCACAGGCAAGTCAGGCAGCTCAGTCTATTCTCCGCATTCAGTATACCTTCGCCAAGAATCAAACGTGTGTACGAATGAAATAATCTTCCCCGGCAGTGTTCGCACACTCTTCCGCCCCGTCAGTAATCGAACTCGGTCATCCCTTTGTCACGGCAAATAGAAAAATTGATTTTTTTTTTTTAGATAAATATGGACACATGTTTTTAGACACACTAAACGGATCATGTTTTTAAGGAATGAAGGAACGGTTTCACAAAGCATTCGAGGGCATGACGCAAGATGATTTTGATTCCTATTGATTTGGTAAATTACCTCAAATAATAATTAACCTCCACGGGTAATTTAACTTAGTGGAGATGTAAACCTGTGGATATTATCCTTAGCTGACATTTACTTCAGTGGAGTTTGCCCTAGTGGAGATTCACTCCAGTTCTAGGTTTCATCAGTGAAGATGTTAATTTAGTGGGAATTCACACCAGTGGAAATTTACTTCATGGAAGATTTACATCCTACTGGAAATTTACCTCCTGTCGAGATTCTATCAATTTACTACCGGTGGTGATTTACCTCCAGTCAAAGTTATATCTCCCACGAGGGATTTACCTCCATGCGAGCTACCAGTGAGCATTTATCTGCAGAGGAGATTTACCTACGGTAGGGATTCTCCCCCAGTTGGGATTTAACCGCTCTGAAGACTCATAAATCAAGATAAATTAACCATGTTCATTTGTATGAAACTATTTTTGTTACAATTTTTTTCAGATGGATATTTTCTGATCAATTAGTTTAACTAAAGATTACTTGCTCTCTTATCGAGATCCTAAGCAGTAAGTTAACAAATAATTCCAATCATAAACATATCTTAAATAATTCCCAAATAAAAGAACCCAAAGTCACTTTTTTGATAAATAAATCTGCCGATATTGATATAAACGAGAAGACATAAGAACACCTTGGTAAATAAGCATCGCTATAATGAATTTAAATACAGAATTAAATACTTAAGTTCCCCCTCGTCGCAAGCGGTCGCCGGGGAAAGAAGATTCGCCATGCTTTGTCTCTACGGTTCCGCGTCTGACACAAACCCCCATCTACATAGATCTCTCAAGTTTCCATTATGTTTGTGTTGGTCAGTATCGCACCCGTATAGGCGTGTGGGGAGGACCAGGTGTGTGTTGAGTGTGTTTACCCTCCCAAGCCCCGAGCTGTTGAACAGTTCCCACTTAACTCTCCCTCAACAGAACAGCTCCGCGCTATTATTAAAGAATACTACGATCACGCCGCCCAGATTGAGAGCGATAAGTATGACGTGGAGTTGGAGATCATTCGCAAGGATTATGAGGTTTGTATAGCTAGATGGGCCCCTATCAACTATCCCTCAACCAACCACCCTCTACCAAAACTACCGCTCTTTTACCTTCACCAACCAGTTTTTTTGTGTTTTTGTCTTTGAACGTGATTTTATCATGGACCATCGATAATGGTTGGATGGTTGGTCGGGCGGGAAAGCTAGGGGAAGGGGGAGGGATTGAGATGAATGTTGTCAACACGAACCTTCATTCAATCTACCGGTCCCACCGTAAACACCGAATGTGTCTCTTTTAGAATATTTTCCCCTGCACATTTTGTTCAATTCTTTTTTAAAATATTTTTTCCGCCCTTTTTCTTTGATAATTTCCACCGCTTGTAACCTGACCGCTGAGAAACGATCGTGACCTTTTGTAGTCGTTTACCAAAATCATGTCACGTTATGCTGATGATGAGTGTCTTATTTTATACCTTGTTTTTTAGTTCGAGTGATGAGATTAGCTGAGAAGCTATTGTTTTCTTTGGTTTTGGACTGTTTGATTACCTCTCCACCCTATGCGTTCACTCCACCACTACCTCCCTGCACTGCACACCACAACTCCAACATGTGTGTGTAGCTCCGTGTGTGTGCGTGTGTGCGTGTGTGTCTGTCTCTCTATGTGTTTCCAGAGACCATCGCGTTGGAGGAGTTTGAAGCAACGCCACAGTCACCGTAAAAAAATAAAACAGCTTTAGGGATACTGCCCTAATTTTAGTTTTATTTTCTATTTTTGTAGCTGAGCTTGCAAAACTGTGTAGGGAATTCCATAATCGCATTGAAGGCCTTGAGGGTGACAAATGGGATCTGGAGCACCAGATCAAAATGAAGGACTATCAGGTAACAGCGGGGGGGTGCAGAATGCCTCCTCGCTAGCTAGTGCACGCTGACTGTGGCCTTCAACTGCTAGTAGTGTGGCCTCGGCGTCCCTCAGGGGCCTTACCACAGCCAGTGTCCTCTAGTAATTCTCTTCCCTTGCAGGCTGTTTCTTATGGAGGGCTTCACTTCATCCATTGATAGATGCCCATTCCTGAGATATCTCTTGTCATGATATCACCCCAAAAATCATCGTTATTGCCACCCATTAGTTATGGCTAAATTTCAGTTCGATATCCATATGTATGTATGTTTTACCTGTTGTACTGCTTTCATTTCTCACGAGAGCTTGTTTGCTCGCTCCTGTCATACTTTAACGAGACATTCTGTTATAGACGCACTTAGGGAAATCTGCAAGGAATACCACGAGCGTTTGTTCCTTTGCGAGTCCCAGAAATGGGACCTCGAATATGAGGTTCGCAGGAGAGATTACGAGGTACAGTGGCCCGGCCTCCTTGCACAAGTCGGGAGTGGTAGTTGTGCTGTGTGACTACCGCGGCTTGACCAGCCCTGGACCATCTCGCGACGCCTGCCCCTCCTTTACGCCATTCGTTGTCCCTCCCGTGCCCACCCACGCAAACATTACCACCCTCCCCCAAGCCACCAAGTTGCTCCTCCACACCGTTCAGTATTCCTATTGCCTTCCCCCCACCCACTCCACGGGACACTTTGTCAAATGATATGCAATTCTCTGGCTGTAGCTGACGATAGAGTAGTGAGGAGTGCATTAGACGGTAGAGCAAACCCTAAATTTGTATGAAGTGCACACTTACTGGAAGCAAGGGTTGACCAATGCACTCGCTTCTTCCATCCTGCTGCTGCTGCTGCTGCTGCTGTTGTTATTGCTGTCAACCCAGCTGAGGGCACCAGGGATCGAGACTCTGGTGTCTGGTCCTCCTCCGCACCAGCAACACTACCACATCCAGTGCCCCATCCACTTACCAGCATCATAACCACCTCTACCTACCCTTGCTACCACACACATCCCTAGTAACCCAGACGTGGTTGATCAACAGTGGACCAGATAGCTGGGGGCTGTACATCACCCCTATGATGTACATCCTGGTGGCTGAATAGTATGTGTACGCTGCTCCGCTGGATAGCACGGTGCTCAGGGCGCATGGGAGTCTCCTGAGTGGAAGGAATCCCTGAAGGGTGAACCCTGACAGCCCTAGCGCACGCTGTGTGATCGGGGCAGTGTGCGCATCACTGGTCGTCCTTCATGCAGTGGTGTGGCTTCTCAGTGTGAGGGAAGCGGCTTGCTAGCCGCTTCCCTCTGCTTCATTAACTCACTCTCCCTGTATTAGAGAGATGCCTCATTCATGGCAAGATTCAGCTCAAAAATATTTTTCTTTTTAATTTTCTAAAATACTCTGTATACTTTTTAAAAAATACAGACACTTTTTGCATAGGTCTTCAATGTATACTTGAGTAGATGCTAAAACATTCAGTGTTGCCAAGTAATAGTTTGCGAAAGTGCCACTCTAGTGGTGATATGTGAGAGTAGATGAGTGTAGTGATGCAGGGGGTCGGCGGTGGTGGGGCTTGGTAGGACTGCCCGCCGGCCATCGCCTAGTGCCGCAGAGTTCCGACCCAAGCTCTGCCACCGCCCCTACCCCAGTGCTGAGATGGTGATGCTCAGCCAGGCTTGCAAGGCTGAGGGCTGCACCATCAGGTGTGCTTAGATCAGTGTTCCTTTGTGTCTGGGGCCAGCTTCCTGCCAGAGAGAAAGTCAATCAAATCACGTCCCAAACATACCCGTTCGACTCCCCTTATGCAAGAGGCATCAATTCTCTTATTATTATTGTTATTATTATTTTGACTAACTTCCAATGCTTTTGTGCAAACAACATAATTGCATTTTTCTATAAATATCTTCGTTTGGCTTCCCATTCTCTTGCTACTCGTCCAGGGCTGGGCAAACCGTTTGTTGAGCTTAATGGTACCACACGTTAGCTTCGGAGGGCATTACTAATTCCCAACACCCTCCAGTGTATAGCCAAGTCCTTAGGTGTAGGACGAGTCCCTCTCGAAATGGGCTCGATGCCTCCTCTCCCTACACCCCCCTCCCCCCCAACCGCTTGCTAACCCAACAGCTGGTAACACTGCATGCGTCTCCGACCCGGGCGCCGGGAGGGGGTCCTCGCTTCCTCGTGAGGCTCTTTTGGGGGCCCCCTCTTGTGCCCCAGTTTTAACCCCTTCTAGCGTGACCTTACCTGACCTGGCACCGTGTGAGCCCCCTCCCCGCAGTCCCCAGGGCAGCACGCGGCCCGCTGAGGTCAACCCACCTCCCCATGTATGGCACTTCATACTCTCAGCACCTGCCGAAGGCAAACTTTTATTACCCTTTCTCTTCGTTTTTTCTTATCTATAGATTTTCCTCACCTGCATTTTTTATTTTTGAATGACATTTGCATTTATTTTGCAAAACCTTTTTTTTTTTGAGCTTCACCTACGATACGGGCACATAAAACATTTTTTTGACGATAGCAAACCTGTCCCGAAAAAAAGGAAGTTATGTAAGCTTTTCACATCCAACCAGACAACAGGTAAAATATACAAAAAAATACTCAATAAGGAAGTGCCATACACTGTTGAATTCCTCCATAGAAGCAGGCCTGGGTGTCGGCTAGAACCTTCCTCAATGTGCGAAGCCTAGGTTACTGTTTTTTGGTTTCCGCCTCCCTGGGGACTTTGTACGGACCAGCAGAGCACTCCCGTGTTCATACGTGCTAGACAGCCAAGATCACCTCCTCTAAACTCTCCTCCTCAACCTCTCAAATGTATTAAAAAAGTGCTTTAATGTATAGAACAGTATATGTGTACAGTTGTGTGAAGGTTTAGAGTGGCGGCCGTTCTCAGCGTTCTATCATATATGGACACGGTAAGGAAGAACATACCCCGCTCTCCTCAAGCCAGTCTTGGTCCCGCTCAACCTCAAATAACCACGGACACTTAGAGCCACTAATCAGAACACGCAACTCCCTTCTTGGTGGCAAACGGAGTGACTAACAGCAGAATTCTAGATTTTGCAGACCGCTTGGAGCAGAAACTTTTGTCGCTGAAAGAGACGTGGGCCACACACAGGCAAAGTGGATATGGGGTGAACCCACATCCTCGTGCTCTTTCAGCGTCGCGCACAATATAATTTAAACCGTAGTATTAATTCAGGCAGGAAACTTTAATTCGACACCGCCAGTTCATCAATAAATTTTCCAATTTATTAATTCAACTGGCAGATCATCCACACCGGAGGACAGTGATATGTATTGGTTGGCACCCACAGTCTATATCAGTAGATGGACCAACCAGTAGCCTCGAATGCTCTTAAACTACTAACGATTGGCTCGGTAACGACCATTAACTTTGCCACTGGATTGTCTCAAAATGTCGAATTAAGTCTCCTGACTGTCTCTAGAATATCCTCCTATCCCCAATCTTGAAGGAAAGATTGGACAAGTATTGATACATTAAACCAACCAACTTGAAGTCTTCATTTTGATCCCAGTCCTATCAGCAGGACGGATACAACTTTAGGCCTTAAAAAATGTAATTAGTTACTCTACTCCCTACTCTCATTTTAATTAATATTTCAGGTCTTTATTTTTTCTTCCTTGGTATGTGTTTTATGTTGAATTATCATTATTATCATCATCATTATAATTTCGTTTTCAAGACTGGGGAGGAGATGAAGGTATATATATTTTAATGTAGACTAGTAAGTGTTGGGCTTACTAGAAGAGGGAAGTTTTGTAGTGGCCTCTAGATTACTTAATACTGTCTAGGCTAAACTTTGCAGCTCTTGCAGTAGAAAGCATATTAAAAGATACAGAAACTAAAATAATAAAGACGGTGGAAAAGACTAAAATATTTTGAGTTTTTGGCAAAATTTTTGTTTGTCAAGCGAGTTTTATCAAGTTCCGTTTATTCTTATACGGGACTTTTTTTTTTTTTTTACCTTCCTCCTTGATCCCATTTTTGGTCGTAATCTCCTTTGTTTCTTTGATTTAATTAAGTCTTTGTCACGTGTCGAAATATGATTATAATTTCTCCCTCCTCTGTATCTTTTAACTATCTAACGATTCAGCTAACAGTCACTGTGTTGTGTAGTCTCTGTGTTAATTTATTAGTTTAATTTATTTGATCACATTTATAATGTTTATTTCATGAATTATTTTGTCATTTCTTTATTTGATATACGCGAAAAAAGTTATCAGATCAATATCTCAAAATATTTAAGATTTAATGATAAAAGTTAAGCATTAGTTAATTTGCTTCCATGCATTTTTCCATGTTAAAAATTGATCACTTTTTAATGCTTGTCGCTCGAATTCTTATGATGCAGGCTCTGGCTTTGCTTAATTGGTTTAATATAACCTCAACACCTCTACATCAGCCACTATATATATATAAGTAGTAGCCATCGCTGCTCCAATGTCTGGGAAATTTGCCTTTCAAAACATTTAAAGGTTAAACGTAATAGGAATAAACTATTCAGTAATAAATTTCCAAACAACATATATAGTAGTGAACTGTAATACATAGAAAAGCATTTTAATCTTTAAAGTTTGAATAACGTTAATACTTTACCCAGAAAGTCCTCTTACAGAAGTTAAACTTTGCCCCATAAAAATACCAAAACAACTGCACGACTTTTAATCATATCTTAACTGCCTTCCTGCATCTTCTAGATCAACGAGCTCAACATTCAAGTCAACGATCTGCGTGGCAAATTGTAAGTATCTATATCCAATTCGTTAATGGTCCGTTCGTGTAATTAGACAGACCCAATGGCGTCATATGGTAAAACAAATGACATAATTCTCACGCATGATAAACCCTTAAATATAAACTAAATAATTTAAAATGAAGATTCTATATAAAATAAAGTTAAAACTTGCGCAGCTTCTGATTTTGCGGACGGACCTTTTATTTCCCCCACAGGTGATAAAGGTGTCGGTATGTGTTTCCTGGAACCGCAATAACACCCTTATGACCTGGAGTTCCTCTCTTGTTTTGCCTATCATTATAAACTCTCGCGCCAGATCCTATAATCGACTACAGTTCCAGCACAGATGATAATTATTATTGTTAATATTGTTATTATTTAACTTTAGGTTTAATGTTTTGTTTAATACGTAATATTATTGATAATTAATATTTTCCTATTTGGTTTGATGGTGAGCTTATGGCCCATCAAATTTCTGGAAGGTTATTAACCCTTAAAAAATAAATTGTTTATAAAATGACACATGGAACATACGTAAACAAAATTCAAATAAAATGTATATATTTTCTTGGGTATACAGAATTTATAAATAAAATTTTGATATTGGCACGTAAGAAAGAGCAATTTGTTAAACAAAAGCCTACATAATATTTAGTTTCTTCATAAAAATCAAGAGAGCATAAATAATAGTAATAAGACTAAAAACTAAGTCTCAAACATAAATAACTTCTAGACATTTTAGGATATAACGATGACACATTATTCTAAATTCTTCTAACTAATGATTTTTATGCATATAAACCAAGATCTATCTTACTTTAATAACATGCAGAGAAATGTAATAGTTAATAAAAGTATTTATGAGAACCTGCTTCCTACTAGTTTCTATGGTGAAAAAGTCAATTTAAACCAATAGTTACTCTTCTAGACAAATACAGTTACATGTAAATTAATTTTATTTTCTATGAAAAACATTCACCATACTTAAATGGTACAAACTAAAAATTTATTTTATTTAATCTGACGTGGACTGGACTGTAGAAATTATATATGGCGCGTTGTATTTAATTATTGCTTGTCTTAAAGATTCTCATACTGATAACTTTAAGACGAATTTAGTTTTAATTTATTTGTTATTATATTTTACTATTAATCTTTGTTGGCCGATGCTACTATATTGTTTATCATATTACATGCTTTAAAATTATGTTTAGTTGAGCAATTATTTTTGAAAACTTTATGATAATATATACAATAATAATATTACATATATATATCTGGATACCACCTCTGATTGTATTAGTAGGGTACCCTTCATCTCGGAGTAGAGAATATATGGCACCCGAGGAATGTATATATATATGTATATATATATATATATATATATAGATTTATAACATACATATATATATATATATATATATATATATATATATATATATATATATATATATATATATATATTATTCGTATGTTATATTTTATATAGTTTATGTATAAAAGTCTATGTAATTGTTCTGCTCTTATGAATTATTAACTAACATTTCGATACTTCGTGAGTTTTTCCATATAAACTCTCAACATTTACATAAAACACTACATCACCTCTCTGAAACTTGTTATGGACTACACTCTGCGACTGAAATTTAGGGATGGAACGAGTTTCAGCGTCAATGTATGGCAGATTAAGTAAAAAAAAAAAGTCAGATTGATCCGGAAGCTTTTTGCACCGATAAAAAAGTCACAGTATTCAACAAGTTAACATTAACAGAAAGTATAATTATAGTAATTTCATGGAGCAGAATTTGCATTTTGTTAAATTCTGAATTTATTTCTACCGGTGCTTTATTTTTTTGTCTCAACGGGTATGTTTTTTCCCTTTGGCAATTGTGTTTTTTTCATCAGTAATGGCGTTTTTCCCACGAAAATGACCTTGTCGCAAAGATAATGGTGTTTTCTCAAGATTTTGTTGTCTTTATCCTGCATTACTAGTTTTCCTTGTGCATTTTGAAGTGCAATATATTTGAACTATCTTTAGCAGTGATCCAGGCAGAGATAAATTGTAGAGCAGCATATAATATACAAGCAAAATTATTAATCATTAAATGAATTCCGACAATTCAGAATATCTGATTTGTCAGGAAATCAGTGTTTTGACAGACATTATCTTCAATTTCACAATAAATCTAGAACATACAAGACTATATATGTAATTCAGGTACATTCCAAGTTAATAAGATAAATTTGTATGTAATTCCGATTTTTTTTATAATAGTATTCAAGTCTAAATTTCGAAAAAAATCTTCTGGTTATAAAATGGAAGCTATCTACATCACTGGTCATTTAAGACATTAGTCTCAGCGCTACTTGAAGTCCTTTGGGGTTCATATTCGCATTACAATATAGTTTATTTGAAAGCGGTACTAAATTCAACTATCCGGACGTCATTTTACATAATAAAGCCTGACTTCTTGGGTCTTGTTTCAGACATCACCGCATAACTTTACACCGCCACTGTTGCTTATTACTCTTAATTTTATACATGAGTTATGTCACTCACGATTCCTCTCGTCCTTTCTATTACAAAGCATCAAGCCTACTCTAAAGAAGGTCTCCAAATACGAGAACAAATTCGCTAAGCTGCAAAAGAAGGCTGCAGAGTTCAACTTCAGGAATCAGCTCAAGACTGTGAAAAAGAAGGAGTTTGAACTTGAGGACGACAAGGGCGCGGTGAGTATTTTTTTTTTGTATTAAGTACCTATCATAAGGTTTAGTAAGCTCGACGTTTTATAAGTTCTGAATACTTCCCGTGTGAACTGAATTAAATACCTATGTGTTAGATGTAGATTAGTTTCATGATTTGTACATCAAATAAGTTGGGATTAATTTCCTTCAATGGAACTCCCTTATAGAGAATTCTGACAAGATTCACGTGTCATCCTGCTTATAAAAATATTTTATATGATGATAAATTCTGTTTAATATGCTTTTGGTCTTTGTCAGTGGAATGTTTCTAGATATTGATGTAATATTTTCATTGTTATTTATTTAGTATTTTCATTTCTTTTTATTTGTCCACCCAAAAAAAATACACAGTTAAGACGGTCTTAGCAGGCTAATGGACAGTTGAATCTGAGTTATCCCTACCTAGATAATGTTTAAAAATATATATCTTTCCAATGATAGAGGGCTCATTAAGACGGTGTCCCTGACAAAAAAAAATCGAATAAGTAACCTCCCCCATCCATAATAAGACAAGTTACACCCCCCCCCTGTCATGCATTGGTGTTCAAAATTATCCCTGCCTTTTGTGTCCAAATGAAGTTCACTCACAAAAAAGTGAATAAAAAAAATTCCTTCCTGCTTGAAAATTTTTGAACATTTTCAGGAATTTCAAGGCAGCGATTGGGTCGTGCATTTTCGCATGACCACGAAACTTGTTTAGAATTTTTTTTTATAATACTAATTGGCCAAATAATGTGATCAACACAAATTTAAAAAAAATGAAAGAAAAATGGTAATATTTTAAATCGCTGATTCTTTATTTAAGCCAAAGCAGCCAATATCTGTTTTGCCGATATGAAACGGCTTTTTCTAGTCTAAATGCTGCTTTGGTGGTTCTTTAATCCAATCCATTGTTTTGGACATTTTACCACATCTTTGGAAATCGACCTTACAGGGACCACAAATAGAAAATGTGAGATAGTGGCCCACTGACCAGTTATAAACATTAAATAATGTAGTAACTGCTTTTTTCTTTTAGTCCGTACACTGAGGTGGAGTTTGTTTCTTTTCTAAATAATTTATTTTGTTTTTGTCCGAGTCATATTTATTCGTCTCATTTTGTGTCAAAAATATTTCGTTTCTTTTTGTCCAAGATGGTGTCTGGTTCTATTATTTTTCTTAGTGTTATTTTCGTTCTTTGTTTCTGTTTTTCTATTTGTGCGAGTCCAGAGCAGCATCTTTTTGTTTTGTTTTTGTTTGTAAGCGACTCAAATTCATGACGTCATTCTCTCTGTGGCACAGACAAAGCCTGACTGGGCAGCCGGCGGTCCTGGAGCCACTAAGAAGGTAAAGAGAGAGGGTACCAAGGCCATCCCGCGGTCCACACGCACTCCACGATACACTTTACACTCCATACGTGCACAATTCATTCCAAGACCCTCCAGATTTACATATTCCATGCCAATACCTTTCATACGTCTTCCATGGCAGAACCCACAATACTTCCTCCTTCCACTTCAAGATCCTCTAAACTTTCTCCCTACATTTCAAGATTCTCCGAACTTACACCCTATATATATATATTGACTTTCTCCATATTAGAACAATTACAGAACCATGACAACAAAATAGACAAACCTAAGGAGATGCACTTCATTCACACTCATAATCTCCATTCCAATGGACATCACATTATGACCTAACATTCTCTAAGCAAATACTTAAACTCTTGGGTACATCCACACTTCAACCCGTCATACTAACATTTCTCCCCAAACCCACATGTCACTGTCCTACAGTTCAACCCATACAGACCCAACACTCGGTCACTGTAGACCTTCCATTCCTTATGGGATGAGGTCAGCGAAGGTTTACATCGCTTAGTTGAGCGACCTTGTTATGACCCCATGTCTCACAAGGTCACAGGGTTCCTACACTGCCCAACTCTACACAGTAATTAGGAGTCAGCTTTTTGTGATTAACAAGTAGTGTAGATGCTGTTCATTAACTATTAAAAGTAGTTTAAGAGGCTTTTTTTAGCAGTCTCATGGTACTGAAGCCTCGTTAGTGGACCTTTGTTTTCACATCAGAAGAATATACGTGTTAAGCAATTGGTCCAGACGAGATGGAGTGTTTTGCAAGGATGAGCTGTATGGCTGGTCCTTGTGAATCCCGGTGTCTCTGAACCCACTGCAAATTTGTAATAACAAGCTAGCTACATCCCACATCACCCATCAGTCTCAACTCACATCCGACACTTGCCTTACAAAGGTACACTTTAAGGACGAGAGTGTGCGTTCTGTAACAGTTAAACATCAAGTACATCAAGTAAAAATTATAATTCATAAATATTGTTTCGGAAAATAAGCTTAAATTCACTTTTTATTGAAGCACAAGATATGAAAAGCTACCTGAAATCTAATTAATCAGAGACAATGTTTCATGTTATTAACCAAGAATATGGCAACTTTTTGTTTACCTTTTGCGCCAAATTTACTCATATTTCGAATTGATGTAGAAATTAAAGGAAAAATGATAACACATTAAACTCATGCTCAATATTGTTATGTATTTTACATTATGGGGCATTTGGATTAGTTGCACATGAGAATATCCATAACTAATGACTGCCTACATTTTAAAGAAAGATTGCTTTTGTCAGAAGGATTGTTTTTCGGTGTTCAACAAAACGCTCCTCCATACTCTTCCTTGAGGTACCTCCCACCCAAGACAATACAGCCCAGCTACATAAATCTCACACATACCCACACACACACACCCACACACCCACATACCCACATACCCACACACCCACACCCACACACACCACAAGGCTCATTACTCCGGCGCTTGCTGCACAAAGTGGCTGAAACGCTACTCTACCAGAGAGCTCTGCTTCCACACGCAACTTACAGCGGCTACTAATTGGCCTCGTAATGCCTTATAACCAGTCTTCGGTGGCTCGTGTAGTCGGTAGATGTACTGCAGGTATGTAGATGACCCCCGTGTCGCTACATCTACCCTATCTGCTGCAGCAGCGTCAAGCTATTCGGAGTATGCGATGGTGGAAGTCTGCACCGGCCACCGCCGACATCCGCGTCAAGTCGCTCAACCACTGACTGCTTCCTGTTACAACATTTTTCTGTTGTCGCTTCTACTAATTCTCAGTTTATGTTGAAATAAACACACACATACACACATTCTCTCTTTTGTAAAGTATGGGTTTTAAATAGCAATTTACAAAAACCTGTTCTAAAAGTAGTAGTAGTAGCAGCCTCAGTTCCTTTGTGTGTTTTGTGCTGTCCATCAAACCAATCTCTAGAGCATTGACGCAGAAGCGAACACAATCGTCGGTATAGCTAGAGCATTAGATTAGACTGTATACATGATAGCTTCTAGAGAGTATAGTGATAACAGCATGTTCACAATAATGATTTCTTCTCTAGGTATATTTCTAGGTTTACCAGCATGACTATTAATGATCTTTCTATAAGTTAGGCATTGTTAGCGTAACCATTTCCCCGTGGCCAAACTTACATTCATCCCTTGCTTCTCTCTCTATATCTGCATACATGATAGTCTGAAAACAAATCTTTTTTCCCTTTACGCATGAGAACAGCTCCATAATAACTTTGTATCTATTATTATTTTGTTTAGTTGAGGGAGACTTTTTCTCCACCTACTAAGTTATCCTTGCAATTTGGGCATAAAGTCCTCTTTTTTGTACTTATTTTATTATTTAGGTCAGCTTTACAATAGGCATTTATGACTAGATCAATGAAGGTTTAAACAATCTCTTTCTAATTAAATAAACGATTGTCAAGAAACTAATCAATATATTTTGATAGGCTATATCATTATTTGTGAACAACTTTACTATAGAATTTTTAAGATAAACATTGGAAAGGAGATTAGCCATAGGAACCATATTTAGTAGTCTCCAGTCACGACACTATTCCCTATTACAGTATATGACAACCTCGGTGAAAATGACCTAAGTCACATGCTGGAAGGCCCTATTACCAGCTACGACAGTATAGAGTAATGGGCCTGGATTACCTGCAACCTTTGGGTTGATTTTTGCCGATTGTGTCATATATCTTTGTTTTGTTCTTGTCATTGTTCTTGTGAGTCCGTACGACACTCTTCCGTATCGGGTCCAAGCTCGGGGCTGGTCTGATGTGATCTGTTTATATGCTCTGCGCCACATTGACCGACCGCGCTTTGGCAAAAAATCGCTTGATTTTTTTATTAATCTTTTGGAAACTTTTATGCGCATATTTTTTGTAAACGCAATTCCAATTATATTTTATTTTATGGAAAACATGTGTATTTAATTTCAGCATTTTTTTTCTGAATGAAAGCTGCATGAAAATTTTTTTCCCTCCCCCCCCCTCCTTTATCCAATTGGATATTCCACATAGAAATGGCAGCATTTCCAATTGTATTTTTTTGGCGCTCAAGTGCCTGATTTTTTTTTGTCGTCCGGTCTCCCCACCCCCCCTACAGCCAGCCCCCTGCCTGAGACCCCGGCACACACTGCTTATCAGTGCCTCACCCACACTATGCACTAGATCTCACCGAGTTAAAAAATACAAAAATAATTCAACAGTCAGTTTGATAATTGTCTTCTTGCTAACGATTTAACGTGTTTGGATGCTGAAAACATCTCGGTAGCTTTACTAGCCCCTCTATTGTCGTTGGGGATAATTTAACTTGGTGCTCTAATGAATTTGAGGCAGTTTAATAATACTTCTTTTAAGAGTTTCGTCTTTTTGAGTTAAACATTTAATATTTTGTCTCGTCGGCGCTTCCTGAGTCAGGAAAAATGCAGTATCACAATCTTAAACCAATAAGTATAATGAAAATTATAAATAACCAATAATTTTTTTACATCCTAAATAAATATATAAATAAACATACAGTTAACATATTAGCTAATAACAGCGTCCAAATACTCATAAAGTCAGAGAAAGACATGACAAATATAGTCAAGTTCCACTCAGGAAAGTCGACGGTTTGATGGTTCCACTTAGTGACCAGTTACCTATAATTTTGTTGTTGTTAAGGCTAACGATTCACTAATAATAATATCAGTTACCTGCATCCACTAGTCCGACCAGAAAAGTTTGATTCTGTTTATTTTTTTAGTTATCAAGAACAAATTGGTTACAGTACAGGATTTTTCATTTGTATTATTCTGGGTTATCTAGATCCGCTCTTCCTTAAAGGATAATAGTTTCTACAGTCCTGGATACCAGAAATGATTATTTTTTATTTCTGAAAAACTAAATTTTTGTTCGAACAACGCTAGAGCTCTGATAGCAGTCTCAAGCTACGTGTACAAAAAATTAAATTCAATGAAAAATAACCCTTAATGCGTACATATTAAAAATACTAAAATTACATTTTCAATAACCAACGGATAAAATGACATTATTGATATTAATTAGTATGACCGTATAGCACTTAATATCGATAGACCAATTATTTTTTACGGATATACAATGCGCTAACTAGATTGAGTAGATTCACAAACCGTATTTCTCAAATCGATATCAGACACATTGGTAGCTAGCGGTAGAGGTCCTCATCCTCTGGAGCAGGGTATTGTGAAGTGGCTGGAAATGTCAGGTGTAAGTTAACTGGAACGTTCAAATTCTGGAAGAGCACTTGCATATCGTAATTGTAGGAGCACGGGTCCCGAGTCAGTCAATGAATGCGATGCGGCGATTTCAAGTCAACCCGTTTTATCGCACGATCTACACCACTTATTCAAATGTAAAAAATATATATATTTATATATCTATATAGATATATATATATCTGAGCTTCTTACTAACCTGTTTCTAAGTGCTGTTCCAGAATTTGGACATGTTTGTGTACAGATGTTGCAAATAACACTTGTTTTTTCCCTCTCTGCCTCTTCCAGGAAGGGGAAGAGGGCGAGGCTCCGGTAAGTGCTTCTCTGGTGAGGTTCACAGACACTCGAGCGAATCATTCCCTATACCTGTGCCACTTGTCTCATCAGCCAAGTAGAAATACCCATCACTAATAATCTCTAAGCTCTTGTTTTAATACGAAAATTCACTCTTAGTTCTGAAGGTAAACAAAAAATGTATATAAGATATATATTTATATACATTTTAAAAGATGGCTGATCAGAAAGGAGTCGAGCAAGGAAGGTTTGATTCCTCTAATGTTTATGGACTTAGCCGCTGTCCCATGTTGAATCTGGTACCGCATGAACCGCCCACAGTTTGAGTCCTGGGAGGGTGGGTTGGCGGTACATCTGTTTTTACTGTATTGATTTTTCTGTTCACTTTGCGGTTTATTTTTTCATTTAAGGAGAATGATTTCTTGTCCCTCTTTTCCTAGATGAGATCAGTCCTTAAACCTGTAGTAGTATGACGATGGTAATAGCCCAATTAGTAGACTTAAATATAGCCTCTACGATTCTTCTTATTTCGTCAACGCACTGATGCCAATGCGAGCGAGAAATGTCTCTTATTGCTCTGCAATCCAGCTTGCTTTAATAAATTCTTGATTTTCCCTCTTGTAAATATTTTAATAAAAAATATTACAAGTTGATTCGTTAAGGACTAAACAAGTAAAGAAAATAATGTGCCACTTAAGTCTGCATGTATTTTTAGTTGAACTTTGAAGTTATTAATCTTTGAGATTTGCAGTTATTTCAGTTACGAATTTTGTATGTTTTGATTGGTTATTAAAATTATATATATATAAAAAACTATCAAATTTTGCAGTGAACATTCCTGTCCCAATTATATATTGGAAATACGACTCACTATTCCCATTTGTTTCTAATTTTGAATGTGATAGAATTCCAAGCAGATATTTGTATTTAGTTTTATCGTGTAGAAAAACCTTACTTCAGAGATCTGAATTAAAGCTTATGACTATGTTCAGTTCCCTGTTAATGCAAGAATTTAAGCAAGCTTTGATCTTCATTTATAAAGTCAAGGAAAGCCTAGTGAAGACTTGAAGCTTGTGTTTCTAGCCAAACTATCCCCCCCATCCCCTTCCCCCAATCCAAGAGGTCGATTCGACGGGACTCCTCTGAAGATGATGATAAATCGATTTTGATCGAGATTCAAATATTTGTAAACATCCAAATTTCTCCTTGAACAAAAAATCTTGGATAAATATTTTCTTATTCTATTTGTTTTTTTTCTTTTCGCCATAATATTTTGGTGTACAGCATTCACGTAGCTTCCAAGTAACCTTCGCCAAGTCAAATGTAGACTTTTGAAGTCTTTCACTTACGAGTCTGGCAAAGACAGTTTTGCTGCACTTTCCACTTAGATACAATTATCATACATTTTAAGTGGACTTGCGTAGTAAGAGGCACTTTAGCTGACTGGGCAAACCTCTGACATGGTTGGTGGAACGTCTTAGGTACATTCAACAACCATGGCAAAAGAGAGCTAATGTAGGCAAAGACAATTCCTCTATTCACCAACATTTGTAGCACCAGGATATGTACGGGAACTGCTGACTCCTAAAACGAGTTTTAATGCGTCGAGAGATGCATAAAACAGTGTTAAAGTCTTCAGTAGTTGCGAATATCCTTTTGCTGACATTTGGTGTATGTCTTTGCCAGCCTTTTGACAAAGAACAATGTTTGACTATGCTAATGGATGATCTCTATCCCACAGACGGAGGGTGATGGCCCCGCTGCAGAGGAAGGTGAGTTGGTGTTGCCCTTAAAGTTGACCCCTTGACCTCATATTCACTGCTGCACGTCGTCTGGTCATAGGGTTAACGTGGGGGGGGGGGGAAGTAGCATGACCTGAGACGACGTGCTTAGTTGTATCATATTACCGTTAAGCAGGAGCCACTGGGGAGGAACTGTGCTCTCCCCAGTGGCCGGTCTCCCCCGGGGAGTTAACCCGCTTCTCTTACAGGCTAACGGAATTATCACACACTTATGATTTCTCTTTTTTTTTTGTTTTGTCTTGGTTTATTGTTTTGTAGAGTTACCGTCCGTCCGTGTGTTTGTCAGTCTTTTGTTGTAGCATATTATTATTTCCGCTGAGGAGCTTATCTTTGTAATAATGCGGCCCTTCTTCTCCCCATCACTAACTTGACACTAACAGGTGCCGAGGGAGCCCCGGATGACGGTGCTTCTCAGGAAGCCCCGGCAGAGGGCGTCACACCTGAGGGAGCCCCTGCAGAGGCGGCTCCAGTAGAGAGCACCCCTGAGGCTGTCCCGGCTGAGGGGGGTGACGCCCCCCCGGCTGAGGAAGCTCCAGCGGAGGAACCTCTGGCTGAGCCTCCGGCGGAAGAGGCTCCCTCAGAGGCCGCCCCTGCCGAGGGCGAGGCCCCCCCGGCTGCTGAAGGTGAAGCTCCGCCACCCCAGGAAGGTAAAGTGTCTCCGCGTCTTCACGCCGCCAGTGAAGCCGCCCTCGGCCAGGCCGCCCACGCCGCCCACGGGCACCTTCTGCACACCCACACTCAACTCTCAGTGTTCTAAAATCCTCGCCTTTGGTTCAATATTTCTAAAAAGCAGATAGCGTCTAACCGCCATACATATTTTTGTTCTATTTAAATCATAAATCTAACGTAGCCTAACAAAGCAATTGATTGTTTAATGGCAATGTTCTTGTTAAATGTTATCAATGTTGTCTAAGATTTGTTCAAGAAAATTCTCTGAAACTTTTCAGAGGTTTACCCTAATCTTGAGTTTCCTGAAACATACCAATTTACCCTTACCCTTGAGTTTACTAAATTCTCCAGCCACCATAAAAAATAGTTTAGCTGATTTTTATCAAGAAAAAAATAATTTTCTGGTAGCTTTTATACTTTACGACAAATTCTACAACATTGCAGTACATTCTACAACATTAATTTGACATTATTTAATGTAGGCAAGTTTTTGTAGCTCACATCAAAGCTGAATTTTTGTTATAAAACAACTTGGGATTCAAAACACAAATAGAAATCCAATGAGTGCGATGCAATAGCAACAGAACAATTGGGCTTAAACTCTTACATAGTAATTTGAGCTCAACATTGGTATAACACAACTTGGGCTCAACACCAACATTTGGGCTCACATTCATCAGTAAATATAAGAGATTCAAAACCAAAACAATTCTTAACACACACAAACAGCAGAGTTCGCAGCACCGCCACTTAAGAAACAGGTCTGAGCACCAAAATACGGGCTCACCATAGCCCGTGTTACTTGGAACTTTTTGTTCCAGGTAGCGAATCTTTAACAACAACAACAAGCAAAATAAACCAGTGCGGCAGAACTTTATTTTCAAAATAGCTACAATATTCCCAAAATAACTTAATTCATGACCATAGCATCAAAACGAACTGAAAAAAACATAAAAACACCCACTTTAGTGAATTGAATTACATCATTATAAGTAGAATGGCTCTATCACCAACTTCTATCAAAGACAACCACTAACCCTCAGGCAAAATGGCGACTCCTAACACCAACACAACACGAAGCCAGCTCCGACTGACTTTTACTAACACCTTCTTCACCGTCTCCCCCTCAACAGTGGCTGCGTAAGGCGACTAGTCCACTGCCAGCAGGGGTAGCAGCAGCAGCAGCAGCAGCAGAGACTATAGGAGGAGGAGGGGAAAGTGTGTTTGTATCGTATGGTTGTCTTCTGTGGAACTTGTGTCCATCGTTACTCTTCGTGTCCCGCCAAAGTGTATCTTCTCATTTCTTACTCTGAACTATGGAAGTGACAGCCATCACTCCTCTACTTACAACGAACCTCGCGTCAACCAAAACGAATGAGCCGATGTTAAAATGAATGAAAGCGACAATAAACAGCAAGAAATTGTTAAGAAATAACAATTGAAAAAAACGGCAAGAAGAAATTCATTACGAACAAGAATCATTAAAAGACAAGAAAGATAAAGAAGCATCGATTTGAAACGAAAGAGCATCAGCTTCAAGCAAGAAGAAATCGAATATAAACAAGAGCGCATCAACAATGAACAAAAGAACAACTATTCTCTTGAATCAATGGTGTTATCAAGCAAGCTTGTGTCCCTTACTTTATATATTCTCGTTCTTCGCGTTGACAGCTTCATGGACTGACTGTGAACATCTATATAAATGCTTTAATATCTATAATAAATTTGTATTATTGATGTTTGCTGTTTTATTTTACCTACGTTGTAGAATGGTCAGATAAATACGCTCTAAGAGGACAATGTTGCAAGTGTACAAGTCAGTGTTCAGTGCCAAGATTTATCAAGCATCAGACTTGGAAGAACCGGCGTGCATGAAACAGGGACCACAGCGAGACAAAAACAGGTAGAAGCGCCAGCATACAAATGAATATTAACCCGACTTACTTAGTTCAGAAAACCTCGATAAGACAGCTTTCATTATGAACACAATTACTCCTGTGTCTATTTGATCCACATTAGTTTACCACATTATCAATTACCTGAAGTATATCTTAATGAACGCTACATATTAAATTAGGGACAAAAAGCGGGTGACAAGCGCCAGTTTTAGTATACATAATTTACTGCTGACGTGACAAGCAATCAGAGACCGGATCAAGAAAGATAATTAACACGCACCGCGAGGTCTGACCTTGACCCACACCGCTGCTGCAGTTGGAGGAGGGACTGGGAGACCATGGGTCATTGTTCTCAGATTTGTATACATATATACAGGGAGCCGGTCGGCCGAGCGGACAGCACGCTGGTCTTGGGATCCTGTGGTCCCGGGTTCAATCCCGGGCGCCGGCGAGAAACAATGGGCAGAGTTTCTTTCACCCTATGCCCCTGTTACCTAGCAGTATAATAGGTACCTGGGTGTTAGTCAGCGGTCACGGGCTGCTTTCTGGGGGTGGAGGCCTGGTCGAGGACTGGGCCGCGGGGACACTAGAGCCCCGAAATCATCTCAAGATAACCTCAAGATCTCAAGATATGTTATAATAATCTTGCTAAGTCATCCAAAGCCTCAGTCCCTACTGAGAAGTTTACAATATATATAACAGCTCATCCTCATATATCCAGATATCAGGCATATAATTTCTTAAGACAAAATCGATTTGAGTACACTATGTTTTCTTCACTTTAAATAATCTGCAACATTGCATACCCATAGATTGATTTTAATAATATAAATCGTACCTGCATATAAACATTGAATTTTATATAAACTATATACAATGCAACTGTTTAATTTTCATTAGTACTAATGATTTAACGTCACGCTTCAGTAATGGTTAAGGTAAGATATTTACATAATTTGGCTGAAGATCACTTCGAAATTTACGCGTAATTGTTTGGCTATGGGCTTGAGGCCTGTCAACTTCTGAACAGTTAAGACCACACTTGAGCTTACAGGCCAACTAGCAAAGAAAAATTTAATGTAAGTAACGTACATGTACTATAAAAAAAAAGTCAGCTGACATTTGAGACTGGTGACTATTATATTTTGCACTCGAAGTCGAGTGGATTTTTTTTAAGAACTGTTGACCAGTGAAAGTCTACGGACTCTGGGATCCATTTGTGACTTGGTACCGATATAAGAACATAAAAATACATACTAATAGAAATAATATTTCTATTACATTCACCTCATTCCAATAACCGTGCCTAAAATCGTTGTTTGAGTTATAAGCTTATTCTACGTTCTCCAAACTCTTAATAGATAGCGTGTATTTGGCCTAGGATGGTTAGGTTAGGTTTTATTAGCAACAAAAATATATACATTTTCCCGGTTTTTTCCAAGTTCAGTACTACAAGTCTACTTTCTGGAGGTCCTTCACGACATATTTGTACTTTCGACCACATAGTTAGGTCGAAAGTACAAATATGTCGTGAAGGACCTCCAGAAAGTAGACTTTGTAGTACTGAAGTCTACTTCAGTACTACAAGTACTGAAGTAGACTTCACCCTTTTCTTTCCTTTTAGGATGATGGGCTGACATCGAGAGTTATCAGTGTAGTCTACTTCTCGTTCTACACTGATTGATGATTGTTGCAGCCGGAGGCGGCGGCTAGTTTATTATGCACCCCATACTCATCCTGTGAGCGGTAGCGCAAAAAGCGGTCTACACTGAGTTTACTCATGTCCTGGACTATGTTTTGGGTTAAAGTATATTTGCTGGTTAGTCATTAAGAAGTGATTCGGCCTTAATAATCCTCCTTGGTTAACCACACAATCGATACTAGTCGATTTCTCATCCTGTTTATCGGTCAGCCATTCGTGGAGTGCGGCCAGGATTGAGGTCAGCGCACGACCGAGTTCTCAAGGAGTAAAATGGGATACATTGATCAGTTGAATTCTTCCTGCGTCTTATTTGCTGGTTGAATTAGTTGCAACCGGAGCCGGTTGCAACAAATTCTCCTATTTTGAACTGAATGGTTACTATTAATTTTCGATACTTTATAATATGAAATATATATACTGTAGTTCGGTTATACTTTTGGCTCCAAAAAATGTTATAAAAGGTATGATATCACAGGAGTATCAATTGCATATTTTCCTTCAAACATCAACTTATACTCTAAGCATGACAGTAATTCTATCAACTATTGTCGTAACGTGCAAAAAAAAAAAAAAATCCGTTTGGTACAATAAGATTACCCTAAATGGCATATCGAAAAATTAAACTGTACCTATACAACCTAACCCAGGCCGAATTAAACAATCCTGGCTCTAATATGGTTATGTATGTAGTAAATTAAACTTACGATATACACAATAACGATACACGATACACAAATACACGATACACAATAACATGCTACACACAAGGAAAGGTTTGCTGCCTTTTTTTCTTGTGCTTTCTACAAAATAGTGCAAAACTGTTTTGCAATTTTTATTTTTGCAACAAGCCAATTTAGTACATTCTACTAATTATTACTATAAATACTATTCTTTATTGGATAACAGTTGCATACACTCAAATTATCCAAAGAAATTTTGTAATATTAAAAAAAAATTAATAGTATAATTTACTATGAGCCTATGTAAGAAAGATCACACGATATTTGACAATTTCTAAGCTGAATTAGAATGTTAAAACAGCCTTTGTTACTTTGTAATTGATGTGCAAGGCAAAATAATAATAATAATAAGCGACGCTGAAGCTAGCGCCGCGCGCAGCGATCGGGAGAGGTTGAGACGTGGGCCAGTCTGACTTGGAGGAACCATCACTACGCACACGAAGCTATGTGTGCACTCGACTACTGTGTACGCGCAGCGTGCGCGCGTGTGTGTGTGTGTGTGTGTGTGTGTGTGTGTGTGTGTGTGTGTGTGTGTGTGTGTGTGTGTGTGTGTGTGTGTGTGTGTGTGTGTGTGTGTGTGTGCGCGCGCGTGTGCGTGCCGGGGAAGGGGGGGGGGGGTGATGACTGCTGGTGGCAGTGTTTGGTGAAATAGTTCGTCTCCGCGCGACCAATTGTAGCGAGAGTGGTGACGTGTCTTGCTACTGTTGGTGTGGTGTAGTTGAGGGTGTGATCAGCCTATGGGTGTGTGTGGGTGGGAGTCTATGGGTGTGTGTGTGTGGGTGGGAGCCTATGGGTGTGTGTGGGTGAGCCTATGGATGTGGTGGAATAAATGAAGGTTTAAGGACCTATCCTAATTTCTGGATTTTCTTTCGGCGTGTGGGCGTCCGATTTGGAATAGAACAAAAGGATCAAAGCGATAAATGGTAGTTTACTGCAATGGGTGTTTGTAGTGGTCTTAAGGGTAGAAGCTATAGGATAGCAGTAGATGGATAGTGTGTATAGGTTTATAAAGGACGAGGGGGGGGTGGGGTTCGAGGATGGGGAAGGAGCGTGGGAGGTCTATGGGATAGGAGGTTGGAGTGTGCGAGTAGACAGTCTAGGATTGGAAAGGACTGGTTTGTAGAGTGCCGTAGATTGGGAATGAAGAGAGTGGTGGTGAGGGTGATTGAGTGTTGCCCCGGAGTCTGACACTACTGTCATCCCAGATGCTTCTTGTCGACAGAATCTGTCAAACAATATAATAAACTTTCCTGTAAATCTTTTTATCTTTGCTATATTATATATTATAAATCCAGAGTGGAGGAGAGAGAGAGAGAGAGAGAGAGAGAGAGAGAGAGAGAGAGAGAGAGAGAGAGAGAGAGAGAGAGACAGTAGGAAGAGAAGATATGCCAGGAGAAAGTAGTAAGGGAGAAGACTGGAGAGTAAAGAAGAGACATGGAGGAAATGTCATGGAGATTTTGACGTGTTTTAGAAAACGGGAAGACAAAATGGTTTGTTAGGATTGTAAGTAATATTCTCCCTCTGCCTCAGCCCACCTTACTTTCGTTAGATAATTATACCTTCATATTGAAACCTCAAATTCAAAAGATAACTCAAATAATAAAATATCTTAATGGAAAAAAATAAGTAATTATATATATATATATTATTATTAAATATGACCGAAAAAGTAAGATTAATAATTCTAACACGAATTTTCTCAATCTTTCGTACATTTCGTTTCACTGTTGGAGGTAAATCAAAAATCAATTCTCCAAAATTCATTTTTATTTCTAGTCTGACGCGACACGAGCGCGTTTCGTAAAACTTATTTCATTTTCAAAGACTTTAGTTCACAAATACACAACTGAATAGAACTTACGCATCTCCGATTTTATATCTACATTTGAGTGAGGTGGAAGGGGTGATGTGGCATTAACACAAGACAGAACAAGATGTGGTATTAATAGGGTATTAATTTCATCAACACAAGACAGAACAAGAGTATTAATAGGGTATTAATTTCATCAACACAAGACAGAACACGAAACAATGGATATTGAATAGAAGTGTTTGTAGAAAGCCTATTGGTCCATATTTCTTGATGCTTCTATATTGGAACGGAGTCTTGAGGTGGGTAGAATATAGTTGTGCAATAATTGGCTGTTGATTGCTGGTGTTGACTTCTTGATGTGTAGTGCCTCGCAAACGTCAAGCCGCCTGCTATCGCTGTATCTATCGATGATTTCTGTGTTGTTTACTAGGATTTCTCTGGCGATGGTTTGGTTGTGGGAAGATGCCACAATAATGTGTTAATGCCACATCACCCCTTCCACCTCACTCAAATGTAGATATAAAATCGGAGATGCGTAAGTTCTATTCAGTTGTGTATTTGTGAACTAAAGTCTTTGAAAATGTAATAAGTTTTACGAAACGCGCTCGTGTCGCGTCAGACTAGAAATAAAAATGAATTTTGGAGAATTGCTTTTTGATTTACCTCCAACAGTGAAACGAAATGTACGAAAGATTGAGAAAATTCGTGTTAGAATTATTAATCTTACTTTTTCGGTCATATTTAATAATATATGTCTACAGGAAAGACTGCTACCAAAATATACTAATATATATATATATATATAGGGTAAGGCAGGTTCTAGTCAATAACGGCTTCTCCAATGGTTTCATCGAAGACATCATAAGAAGGAAAGTGAAAAGCCATGCAACCTCCGAAGAGACAACTAACACAACACCTATACCCCCTATTAGACTATTTTACAGGAACTTCTTTTCCACAGCTCATAAAACAGAGGAAAGGGTCCTGAAAGATATTGTTAATAGAAACGTTATCCCTACAGACAAAAATCAGAGGATACAACTGACGATTTACTATAAAACCAGAAAAACGGCCAGCCTACTCATGAGAAACTCTCCAGACACGAAACAGAACGCTTTAAAAGAGACTAACGTCGTCTATGCCTTCAAATGCCCACTTGGGGACTGTAAGCTCCAAAAAACCCAGTATATAGGCAAGACAACAACATCTCTTTCTAGGCGTTTAACGATGCATAAACAACAGGGCTCCATTAAGGAACATATAATCTCTTCCCATAACCAAACCATCGCCAGAGAAATCCTAGTAAACAACACAGAAATCATCGATAGATACAGTGATAGCAGGCGGCTTGACGTTTGCGAGGCACTACACATCAAGAAGTCAACACCAGCAATCAACAGCCAATTATTGCACAACTATATTCTACCCACCTCAAGACTCCGCTCCAATATAGAAGCATCAAGAAATATGGACCAATAGGCTTTCTACAAACACTTCTATTCAATATCCATTGTTTCGTGTTCTGTCTTGTGTTGATACTTTTAATACCCTATTAATATCCTCTAATGCCACATCATCCTTCCCACCTCACTCAAATGTAATGCCACATCACCCTTCCCACCTCACTCAAATGTAGATATAAAATCAGGGAAACGCAAGTTCTAATCAGTTGTGTATTTGTGAAGTCTTTGAAAATGTAATAAGTTTTACGAAACGCGCCCGTGTCGCGTCAGACTAGAAATAAAAATGAATTTTGGAGAAGTGATTTTTGATTTACCTCCAACAGTGAAGCATAATGTACGAAAGATTGAGAAAATTCGTGTTAGAATTATTAATCTTACTTTTTCGGTCATATTTAATAAAATATATATATATATATATATATATATATATATATATATATATATATATATATATATATATATATATATATGTCGTACCTAATAGCCAGAACGCACTTCTCAGCCTACTATTCAAGGCCCGATTTGCCTAATAAGCCAAGTTTTCATGAATTAATGTTTTTTCGTCTACCTAACCTACCTAACCTAACCTAACCTAGCTTTTTTTGGCTACCTAACCTAACCTTACCTATAAATATAGGTTAGGTTAAGTTAGGTAGGGTTGGTTAGGTTCGGTCATATATCTACGTTAATTTTAACTCCAATAAAAAAAAATTGACCTCATACATAGAGAAAAGGGTTGCTTTATCATTTCATAAGAAAAAAACTATAGTAAATATATTAATTCAGGAAAACTTGGCTTATTAGGCAAATCGGGCCTTGAATAGTAGGCTGAGAAGTGAGTTCTGGCTACTAGGTACGACATATATATATATATATATATATATATATATATATATATATATATATATATATATATATATATATATCTTTATTTGTACAAATTATACATTTACTGTAGCTAAAGCATATTTATAAAAAAATATAAATGGTTACATAAATATAAATATAAAAATAAAAATGTTAAAAAATATATTTTAATAATTTTTTTTAAACCTAGAAGGGGTACCACCTCTGGTGCAAGTGTAAGTGTTTTAATAAAATATATTTTAAAAATATATTTTAAAAATATATTTTAAATATAAATATAAAAATATAAATAAAAAAAACAACTAGACTCAACAAACAAGACCACACAATAACATCTACCACTATCAACAACCAACAAAGGTTATTACGTCAGAGAGAAATAAAACTGTGTTGACACGACCATTAACTCCGCCCCGCACTGCCCGGGTGCTCTCGTCTGCAAGAATGTGGACGACAGCGGCTCATCTCTTACACCTTAATTTGTTGCTTCATCAGGGTTTTTTAGTGAGTAGTCCCCCCCCTAGATGTGTTTTTTTTTTTTTTGCAGGGATATTCCTGCGCGGGCCCTAAGCCTCTGGCTGGCCCACTGGGCGGGCCCTAAGCCTCTGGCTGGCCCACTGGGCGGGCCCTAAGCCTCTGGCTGGCCCACTAAGTGTTGCTTGTTTCTGTTTTACTTGGGCGGAGTATGAGTATTTCTGACTTGTATGGTCGCTTCAGTAAGATGCCCTAGATGTGTTAACTTGGGTGAGTACATCTGGTGAGCTGATGTATAGGTTCATGACCTCTTTTAGGCTCGGTCTTGTGTACATTTGGAAGAGCTTATGGAGTCTACCTTCATCGGTTTTGGAGCTGTGTACGTAGTCCGTTTCCAAAACTCTTTAGTTCAGTAACACTCCATTTACTAGGGCTAAATACATTCCTGCGCATCTTTATGGCTCATCTATGTCTCCAGTTTCAATCTATGGCGCTCGAATTGCTGTTTGTTGCACATTTTGTCGTTATCAACTTGATCCGTACCATAAAAGATCTTATATGTCGCGATCATGCTCCCTCTTTCCCATACTTTATCTAATGTAGTAAGACTCGGAGCCCCTCATTCTTCCCCATAATTTTCTGGTGAATGGCTCCTGTCCCTCCCGCTCCATATCATACCTACCCCCTGAAGCGCGGCCTGCGGTTAGCCTCGGAACCCTCCCCTTCCAGGAGGTCATTCCGTGTACGCCCCGCACTCTCAACACTAAACTCCGTCTTCCGTACCGTGGAAGAAGGAGGAGACATACACAAGGTCCCGCGGTCCCGGAATCGTTTTTCGACTCCCAATCGGGAATTCTGGGTTCGAAACCAGGGCGAATCAGAAATGGTTGGGTACGTTTCCTATCACCTAATGCCACTGTTCACCTAGCAGTAAATAGGTACCCAGGAGTTAGCTTGTTGTGGGGCTACATCCTGGGGACGGTCAGTAATTCGACGTTGGGGGGGGGGGGGGGCGGACCTCAATGTAAACCTAACATGTACTGTATATGTTAGTACACTGGCTGCCTGTCCCATGAAACAATTAATTATAGGAGTTGAGGATGTTGTATTGTAAGGTAAGGAAATAAAGGCTGATGAAATGAGGTAGAGAAGGAGGGGAGAAGGGAGGGAGAGAGAGAGGAAAGGAGGGAGGGAGAGAGGGAAGGAGGGAGAGAGGGAAGGAGGAAGAGAGGGAAGGAGGCAGTAAAGGAGAGGAAAAGGAAGGGAAGATGGAAGGGAGAGAAGGAACGAGCAGGGGGAAGGAAGGAAGGAAGGGCAGCAAGGAAGGCTGCAGGAGTCGACCTGACACGGTAGAGGCAGCAGCAGCAGACAGAGAAATTCCCGCCTCAGTACTGACTGGGGAGTCACAGTGTCCACACGCCCTCTCCCTTCTCCACACCACACAATACACCCATAGTCCAGTTGTGTGTACACAATACATATATACCCATACATCCACAGCAGAAACAGGGGCTAGAAATCCGCAATATTCAAGGCAGGAGAGTGCAGTGTTGTGAAGGCTCGACATAGGTCGCTCCGGACGTATTAGCGAGAGTGTCTGCCTCAGGTCCGAGCCCAAGTATGCATGTCGGGCAGCCATCGATTCGCAAGTGATATAGATCCTTCACTGGTGGAGGTGAGGCAGGTAAGTGGGTAGTGGGTGTACGGGGTAGTTGTGGTGGGTGAGAGAGTCGTGGGAAGGAGGTGGTAGTGGAGAGGATGAGAGAGAGGGAAAGTTCTCGGTAGGGACAACAAGATAGTATTGGTGGTGAAAGGATTGTTTGAAAACAAGAAATAAAAGTCAGCTCCTAGAAAGTTTAAAATTTTCAGTATACAAAAAGTTAAAACTTAAACCAATTTCCATTTACTGTGTTTAAACCTCAATATCAATATTCATTACAAACTGCTTACATTCTTACATATGCTTACATAAGTATTATTCTTATTCTTATATAAACAAGTATAAAATATATATGATCAATTTTCACAGAAACATAGGAAGAATTTTTTATAAAAACCTATATCAACATAAAATTCATTTAGAGACCTTAGGTGAGCACGTGAGGCGTCTTGAAGGTCACGACATGACTATCGAGTCACGAATCTCATCCCCATAAAGGAAACCGGGCCAGCGCGGCCCCTTGACCTCACTGCAGAAGAAAACGGACCTAAACATGGGATGGGATACATGCACTTTATTGCGTATCTGATGAAATATATGTCGCAGTAGGATGCAGGTCACGTCTTACACAAGACTGTTAGTCTGTGGATATTTAAACCCATCTAACCCAATCCACCCCTGACCCAACCCGATCCATCCGACTTAACCCAATCCGATCCTTCTAAATTAGTCTAACCTACATAGGTTTAGGTTAGCCCGTTAGGGCTTAGTTACCAAGTTTAGTTACTTAGTTTAGGTTAGTTACCAAGGGAAATACATCCAAACCTAACAATATATACGATTTTGACAAACAGAAAACGAGCTTTCCAAGTCGCTTTGTGTAAAACATGACTGTTCTTCGTCGGTGAACGATCTTGTTGCACGGGGCACGTTGAATAATGCTGTGTTTACTTCTCCGACCCGCGGCTTTGTTATTAAAAGTCGGTCTTTGACATGGCAAAATTTGATTTAAATATTTGTTTTATGTCTCGTGGTCTTAATTGCCTTCTGAGCCAGGTGAGGTTTTCTTCATATTGAACTAAAAAACGGCTAGTGATATTGTTCTTGTTGCGTTGTTCAGGGGCCAATGCAGGTATTTGGAGGTCTCTGTGTTGCAGAGCTGTGGGTGGGAGGCGTCAGCGTTGCAGAGCTGTGGGTGGGTGTCAGCGTTGCAGAGCTGTGGGTGGGTGTCAGCGTTGCAGAGCTGTGGGTGGGTGTCATCGTTGCAGAGCTGTGGGTGGACGTCAGCGTTGCAGAGCTGTGGGTGGGTGTCAGCGTTGCAGAGCTGTGGGTGGGTGTCAGCGTTGCAGAGCTGTGGGTGGGCGTCAGCGTTGCAGAGCTGTGGGTGGGTGTCAGCGTTGCAGAGCTGTGGGTGGATGTCAGCGTTGCAGAGCTGTGGGTGGGCGTCAGCGTTGCAGAGCTGTGGGTGGGTGTCAGCGTTGCAGAGCTGTGAGTGGGCGTCAGCGTTGCAGAGCTGTGGGTGGGCGTCAGCGTTGCAGAGCTGTGGGTGGGTGTCAGCGTTGCAGAGCTGTGGGTGGGTGTCAGCGTTGCAGAGCTGTGGGTGGGAGGCGTCAGCGTTGCAGAGCTGTGGGTGGGTACCAGCGTTGCATAGCTGTGGGTGGGTGTCAGCGTTGCAGAGCTGTGGGTGGACGTCAGCGTTGCAGAGCTGTGGGTGGACGTCAGCGTTGCAAAGCTGTGGGTGGGCGTCAGCATTGCAGAGCTGTGGGTGGGTGTCAGCGTTGCAGAGCTGTGGGTGGGTGTCAGCATTGCAGAGCTGTGGGTGGGTGTCAGCGTTGCAGAGCTGTGGGTGGGTGTCAGCGTTGCAGAGCTGTGGGTGGACGTCAGCGTTGCAGAGCTGTGGGTGGGGCGATTTGGCGTACTGTGGCGATGTCTGGAAGCAATTTTGTCCTCGTCAGTAATTACACTGATTGCCTTTGTGGTACTCCCCTCTTCTACATTTTACATAATTTGAGCTTTTATTTTTTAGTTTCTGATGAGATTTATAAGATTTACAGCAGACATTCTGTCGCTCGAAGAATTAAAATTAACTATAATGCAGCTTGCCAACCAAAATTATCATCTTTGGTTAATCTATGATACTGATGACCTTAAGTTGCTCAGGACGAGTCCCTCCATGAAGGGACGACGCGGAAGACGTTGACTGGGAAGCATAAAGCGTGATGGCAGGTTGACCTATGGTCGATATGGCCCTCCTGGGTCAGGGCCTCTTGCCCCGGTGTCACGTCCTCCTGGGACCATTGTTTACCAAAGCTACGCAATTACAATTGACTAGAACGACAAAGACTCAAAAGGAATGCCACCATTTTGAAGTCTTCGATGAGCTACCAGCCGTACTCATACTTCGAAGGGGTACAGTAAGGTCTCGATTATCTTGTAATCCTCCTTGAGAGGCACTGAGTGAGCCAGAGGGAAGAGACGGGTACTGGGTCCCATTACGGAGCTTCTCCAAGTTTGCTTAGCACTGAATCTTTCTGGAATGTTCTGGAAAAAAGGTATATTTCAGAATATCCTGTCCTGGTCACAAAAGCAAAGTTCGTCGGGAATAATAGCCATTTTCTTTACGTTGGAGGTATAAGCAATTAGTAAACAACACTTCCAGGAAAAATTGCTACACAGTGTATTAGGAACTATTGATATATGGTCCAGCATAACCACCTAAACATAGCCTTTTGCTCTCGTGCGTTTTCGCATGTAAGTGTGTGTGTATACATTCTTTTATATCTCAACGTCCGCCTTCCTGTCAATGTGGACAGTTCACAACACTGAAGACTAAACAACACACCAGAAGATGAGACGGCGACATTTCGGTCCGTACAGGACCGAACAAACACCACTTAACTCCCACAGTTCTCACTAAGGGCCAGAATAGGTACAGCCAAAACGCTGTACCTATTCTGGGCTTAATTACCCTTTGTTTTCCGTCAAGGTACCACAGATTACCCTCCCAACAATTATAACCATATTACTTGAGTACCCCCAAAATAACAGCTCGCCCTCTATACCATTACCTCCTCAGTCTTCCTTGATGATAGCATGACTTACCTAACGAGCAGAGTAACATTATTAAACTCAACTAATTAAGGATTATAGTTGAACGTATTCGGCGAATGAGGGGTGAGAAGACGTACTAGAAACTACAATCTATGAGTGCAAGCAATTGTTGTTTATCAACAGACATGGGTCTACAAGATCGTGCGGTAACACGCTCTCTTCTGTCTGTACTCACCGGATGAAGTTTGTAACGCTCAGACGAACCCGGATTTAAGATGAGCTAGTCTAACACATTGCCTTTGCGCCACAAGTATTTATGAAGGTTAGAACCGGATAAATTTAGCTTCCCGCGACTATGAAGCAAAGATTTGGACACCAAAACAACACTAGCAGACCAGCAGCGGGTTCAAGGCTGCCCTGGAAGGCCAGGTGCAGATATTGAAGAATATTCCATTTGTTTGTACTTGTCTGATTTTACGGCTTCATTGTGGTTGGCCGCACCACATACCTGATCAACTCCAAAAAAATATATAGGTGTCAGCCAGGGTGGATACACACGTGTAGTTCCACACCTGCTGTTTGCTGTTCTTCCAGTGGTATATTGTGATAATATCTCGATAAAGTATAGGATCACCAGGATTTTGGGTCATTCAGAAAACATGTGTAGGACTGCATAGTAGACCTAAAGGATTTTTTTTAGATGTCTGTTATTTTACATATGTGATGTGACAAGACAACTTTTCCTGAATCTTGAAGGCTCCAGAAGGAAGGAGTGAGGAGGACAAGGTGCATGAATGGCTCCAAGAGGTTGCTGTTGTTGCTAAACATCGTCACACACAGGTTAGGATTGTGCTAATATTGAGCAATTATAAATAAGTAGCAAAAATACCGGCGTTTACATAAGCATAAAAGCCCCATAATGAACACGTAAGCGTCAGGCCGTTTATGTAAATATAAACAAAAGAAAAAAGGTTGCATAAAAATAGAAGTACCGAATTTAATAATAAAGACGTTAACGTTGGCTCATTTATTTAAATTTATCCGATAAAAACATCTAAATCTCGTTTGAGGACATGCAGATACTAACCACTTATTTCTTGAACGCCAGATATATGTGGTCATTATTTCACCGGTGACTAGGCTTTGGCAGAGAGGCACCAGGTGGACCAACTTGAAAACAATTGCTTGTGTTTGCCTTTTTTATATATGGTTCCAGTTCTTTTATTGTTTTTGTTACTTGTAAATACACCATATATACACCCATACATAAATTTACACGTATTTAGCACATATTACAAAAAAGACTTAATGAGCAGTTTGAAATGTGGCCAACATTTCCCACCTGACCTGGACCTATTACCAGCTTAGCGCGGCCCTGCCCATGACTATAATAAATACAGGAGGTAAACAAAACAAGTAATGCGAAAATCGTACAGAAAAATACAGCACCATACGCAAGTAATCATTTTGACGCAATCAAGTAACAGCCTAATGAATAACCAACCTTGGTTACCGTGAGATAGTTTCGGGGGCTTAGCGTCCCCGCGGCCCGGTCCTCGACCAGGCCTCCTCGTTGCTGGACTGGTCAACCAGGCTGTTGGACGCGGCTGCTTGCAGCCTGACGTATGAGTCACAACCTGGTTGATCAGGTATCCTTTGGAGGTGCTTATCAAGTTCTCTCTTAAACACTGTAAAGGGTCGGCGGTCAGTTATGCCCCTTATGTGTAGTGGAAGCGTGTTGAACAGTCTCGGGCCTCTGATGTTGATAGAGTTCTCTCTCAGAGTACCTGTTGCACCTCTGCTCTTCAACGGGGGTATTCTGCACATCCTGCCATGCCGTCTGGTCTCATGAGGTAATAACAAATATCAACAATAACTAATTCTTCGCAAACTTTTCAAGCTAAAATATTCCAACATTACGATGAACGATAACTTTTTCGACGAGAAAGTGAAACTCCCTTTCACTGATTGCGTTTTGAAAATTCCTTTTTTATTGGTTTCCAATCCTAGTTCAAGCGTGATTAATTTGGTTGGTTCCGTCAGGAATCCACCCCCCGCGGTCGAGTTTCTTATCCTAAAATTATGGTTAAATTATAGGTGGTTATTTGACCGACTTTATATAAACCCGTGCCGACATAATGCCCCCAGGCCCACCATACAACACACTCCGGAAATACATGCAACAATTTCCTCGCCGAAAATACTACCTATAATGTGTATGATAAGCTCAAGTAATTGCACCTCGCTACAGCAGCGTCACGAAAACAAAATTCTTGGCATAATATGAGGGAAGACTCGTGTGTTTTGTCTATAATGCGATGCGTGTCTCAACTTTATACTGAATATCGACATCCACCCACAGATTACTCTTTACATTCGTTGCTATTGTTGATGTTATAGATCCAACCACACGGCACAAAAGTTTGAAATAACACGGGCAGAGACTTTATTTAAACTTTCACTACCTTTAACTTTTAAAATTAACAACTAAAATCAATATCAAGAAATTTTATGTAAAAATGAAAGTCTATTTTTCTAAAACTACCTGAATATTCGCTAAATAGATGAACATTTATTATTTCAAAATAATTAAACAAAAAACAAAATGCAGTTAAAGAAATATATCGACAAAAACATAAATATACAAAATTATTCAGACCCCGTTCCCTAATGGTTGGTCGCGGTATTTTTTTTTCTCTCACCCAAGCTCCTGTACCCAAATTAGAAGCAAGAACCCCAGCCCCTCTACCTGAAGGATCAATGTCTGCAGGGAAGGGGGTTGGGGGAAGAGCGTGCAGTAGCCGGCCCTCAGGTGGGGACGCTCAGGGGCCTTCCCTCTAGTGGGACGGAAAGGAATGGAGAGCAAGTGGTTCTTCTTGGAAAAGGGTTCAAAGGGTTGGAGGACTACGTCCTCCTTGGTGATAGGGTGGTGGGAAAGCGTTACTTCCTTGGGGAAGAGGAGGGTAGGGGTGGAGGACAAGAGGCATGCCTTAGGGTGGAGAGGGCACAGATGTGGGAGAATCAAGAGGTCTCTACTGCGTAAGGGAGAGCAGGGGGGGTGCGGGGCAGGAGGGAAGGTTAACGGGAAGTGGACGGGACAGCTGGAAGGGAAGGGGTCGTTATGGCGATAAAGCAAGTAGGGGAGAGTGAAGGTGGGGGAGCAGGCGACGCGAGAGTGAAGGTGGGACGTGATGTAGAGTTGGAGGAGAAACGGAAGGAGGCAGCGAAATTGTCCAAGATAACACATTAAAATTAGTAACATTATTTACAGCTTCTACGTATCAATTTAAAAAAACGGCGTTATTTCAATAAATCTTTTAAACTGAGGGTCCGTATAAATATTCCTCAATAAGCGTGGACGAGAGATGATGGAGACTAACATATTCTTGCAGGCCACACTGGCCCTGATCACGGAGTATTTGGACCCACACCCACTCTATCCACGCCACACTGGCCCTGATCACGGAGTATTTGGACCCACACCCACTCTATCCACGCCACACTGGCCCTGATCATGAAGTATTTGGACCCACACCCACTCTATCCACGCCACACTGGCCCTGATCACGGAGTATTTGGACCCACACCCACTCTATCCACGCCACACTGGCCCTGATCACGGAGTATTTGGACCCACACCCACTCTATCCACGCCACACTGGCCCTGATCATTTAGTATTTGGACCTATACACACACCATAATCGGGGCCATTGTGATCTGCGTTTGGTCAAATATAGGACACAGGTCACGGAGTATATGGACCATTCCACTCCATACAGGTCTCATTGGCCCTGATAACGGACTACATGGACCAAAACACCTTCCATGTACGACTCGTTGGCCCGGTATTTATCGTATTAGATTCCTTAGGATTAACCTTGTCTAAAAATTTAGTCAAACACCTCATACAATGTAAAGATATGTTGGGGTTAGAAGAAAAAAAAGCGTTTGCGTTCAGTATTTATCACAACTGAAAACATAAATAAGTATAAAACTATGAGGATTGGTAACTTGGTATAAAGAGAGGCTCTTCACAGTAGCATTACAACTATCGTCTTAAAGACATTGTCAGGGAAATCAGAGATATGTCAAAAACTGTCAGGTGGAAGGTATTCACCTCTAGGTTTGGTGTTGGGCTTTGTTCAGCCTAATTATTCTTGACAAAGAATAATTAGGCTGAAAGTCTGATCGTGTACTGAAAAGTCTTATAATTATTCAGTTTTTAATTTATATAGTGTACTGAATACTTCTTGCTAAAGTATATCAACCAACATAAGGAACATCTTCCGTGGCCATAACAGTTCATCACAACAAACGAAGTTGGTAAGCAACAGACAGCCCCCAACTGACGTTAACAAAAACAAGTTAGCATCAGCAGACGGTAAAGTTGGCGAATCATTAGACTGTTCAGGTGACGTGCCGCTGCTCAGTAACCAACGTGAACAGTCTCTCAAAGCTACGCTGATGGTCGCACGATCCGCTGGGTGATATGTTGAAGGTCCATCAAATAACAAAAGATGAATGTAACTGCTTCCAGGCCCAGCCATTTAAGGATAATGTGGTGGAAATTTGTGTATCAAAGGTCATCGTATAGGGTGGTGTGGCTGGCTGACTCGTATATGGTCTTGGGGAACAAAGTTGAGAAAGAGGAAGGAGGGAAAAAAAAAGAGACAAAAAGAGAAGTCAGGGGAAAAATTAGAGACATGGAATAAATACAGAGAGATGAACCCCATATATCAGATTATATACTATGAGCGTGGTCTCATAGTATATAATCTGATATATATTATAATTCTAGTGTGTGATCTGGTCAATATATATATATATATACTATGAATTTATTCAATGATTCAGTTCAGAACTAAAGTATACTTGCTGGTGTGTCAATATTGTGGTGACTTAATTCCCTCCAGAGGTTGATAGGCCATAGTGTTGAAAGGCCGCTCACACACACACACACACACACACACACACACACACACACACACACACACACACACACACACACACACACACACACACACATATACACATATATATATATATATATATATATATATATATATATATATATATATATATATATATATATATATATATGCTTCACGCCCCCGACGATGGGAATTAAATTATTTAGATATTCACATTTCCTCATAAACATTGTATTTGTCTGACGTTCCTCAGGGATGGGGTGTGGACGACGCTGTGGGTGTTGGGCTCTGAGTGAGCTGGAGTTGGAACGCTCCAGACACCAAGCTACACTAGAGGAGAACACCCGCTACCAGAGGCACATCCAGGTCAGTTCTGGTCAAGTAAGGTCACGCTACACTCGCGTACTTCATGCTAGTTTAATGTCACTCTTTTACAGATCATTTGGTAAATATGCAGGCGATGAGTCACAATAACGTGGCTGAAGTATGTTGACCAGACCACACACTAGAAATTGAAGGGACGACGACGTTTCGGTCCGTCCTGGACCATTCTCAAGTCGAAACGTCGTCGTCCCTTCAATTTCTAGTGTGTGGTCTGGTCAACATTTGGTAAATAGTTTGTCACGCTAGGTCAACTGAGGTCACGAGAAGATATTCAAACTTATTTCAACTCTTTCTACGCCGATTCATACAAGTTTAGCTAGTTAAGGTGAGTACATCATGAGACAAAGGCCTGTAGAGGTAGAGAAGGCCTTAATAACTCTAAATCTAGTTAACAATGGATCGAAAATGAATTTAAACAGCAACAAACCATCACATTCAAACTAGGCTGTTTGCGTATTAAAGGCTTATGGTGGTTCAAACGCTGTTGTGTGTGTCTTTGGTAGAAAGTAATTATCAATACTAGTTATAGATTTATACACATGACATCACTGAATATCACTTGGGTAAACTTGGTAGAACACTTTTTGATTGAAGAAAAATGTAGTTGCTACCAATCTTGCTAAACTAATTCTTTACAAAGATATTTTGTAATATCGTTCAAACTACTTCATCACTCCTAACGGCATCCTTAATTACCTCACCCTTAATGACCTTGCCCCCCCCCCCCGCCACCACACGTTTTCCCGTCTATTAACACTGGCACTGTATACCTGGCCTCATGCGGGTCGATGTTCAATCCCCGACAGTTCAAGTGGTTGGGGACCATTCCTTTCTCCGTCTTAACCCAAATCCTTATCCTCGAATCCCTTCCAAGTGACACATAGTTATATATACCGCATCTTCCTGATAATTACGTTACAAATTAAAATCCTCACATCTCTGAGTTTCTCTGCAAGATAAACAGAACCAAATGCAGCCTAGTCCCCCCCATCATTAGGCAATTTTCCAGCAAGATTTGCCATCAACACCTGTAGACAAGAGACGAGGCGTCCGGTAATCAATGTTAATGACGAGGACGCCACGGTGTAACCTCCACCATGACAGCTCTACGACACGCGATCGTCGCCTCGACCACTTTTGGTCTAAATTGTGAACTTTCCTTGATGTTACTACGAATGTTAGTGGAGGAGAAGCAGGGGGGGGGGGGGGACTGCCTCGCCGCGTCCCCTTGCTTCTGTGGCATAAGAACCGCTCACCATTGGAGCAACTTTCGTAAATCAATTTTGTCTAGTTCTATATCAGTACAATACAATAGAAAACACATTTGCGTATCATTTTACTTAAGTGTCCTGTTTAAAAAACTAATGAAACTTTATAATATTTGTTGGCATATAATTATTGTTAGATTGCAATGTCACACTAACGTGGCTGAGAACATCGAACCCAGCCCACACTTGTGAACTGAAAGTGGCGACGTTTTGGTCCGTCCTGGACCAATATGTCGTACGGCTAACGTAATATATTTGTTGCTAAATTATTTATTAACATCAGTTCTCGCAAGGGAGTCATGATGTTGTTGTTGCCTTTGCAGGAGCTGCGTGACGAACTATCGACCTTACATTCTACCGTAGCTGACCTTGAACGACGCTACTCTGACCTCTCAGCACGCTACCGGGGCACCGTAGCTTCTCTGGACGAGGTACAACCTACTACAATACTTGTATTATCAGATATATTACTTTAATATCCATCATACGTGCTACAATTCACCTTACACACTAACACGCGTCATAATATCACAATCATTTACGAACTCAAAGTGGTGAGATGATTCCCATTTTTCAGGTCAATGACACAACTTTAAGATTGAAAGACCACTCTTCCGACCTGGTCGACCAGAACCGTCGCCTCAGATCCAACTGTGAGAAACTGGAGGAGGAGGTAAGGCTTACAATTATAGTAGATGAGCATCACTATGTATTTGTTTTTTTATGTTATATATGCAGATACTCTCAGAAACGTTCTCATCCCTATTTTACGTGACTGCCACAAACACTTGAGTATGATAAAGTACTTATTAGCTAGTTTGTTCTGTTGAAATTGATGTGTGCAGAAGAGATCAAGGGAGTCCGGTAAGACGTTAATTAGCAGGATAACTATGACATTCAAGAACCCTTGTGGTTCTCCGACTCTCATTCCTACCAGGTCAGCAGTGTGAAGGACTATGAGTTAATCTTTGTCCTTACACTTGTTTGCTACATGTTAGGTCTTAAAGTTAATATAGCAACATTTTACGTGTGGTATTTTTAAGGATTTTAATGGATCATTTGTAGTATATATGTTTTAAGTTATTTTCCTGCCACGTAATCTTACTAAAATTACTCTTGGTACCAAGGCAAGGCTCCTGCGGGAGGAGCTGGAGAGCGCCCGAGCCCATGCCGAGGAGGAACATAGGCGTCGAGTATCCAGCGAAGTCTCCCTCAGTAGAGATCTGGTCGACGCAGAGAGGAAATGTCACGTGAAACTTCGTCGGGCTCATTCCCTCCACGATATAGATAAGCAACACCTTCGTCATGACCTGGACCGCCTTCAACACGCCCTCCACCGGGAGAAAAAGAACCACCAAATGACATTACGCGATCTCTACCGTCATTATCCCTACACATACTGCGGACCCCATAGCATCTACAACTGCCACGACTGCTACCATGATCCCATGCTACTAGACTAAGTAAACTGGATATCATATCTCAAATAACCGATGGCAACGAATTGTACACTTATTATGCGACCAATGAGCTTAGGGCCAATCAAAAACTGATGGCAACGAATTGTACACTTATTATGCGACAAATGAGCTTAAGGCCAATCAACCGCGGGAAGGTTATCAAGGCCACACAAGAACTTATTGACCTTGTACATATTACTAAATATAACCAAGGACTAGGTAACTCAATATTTGGACAGAAAATGGGGTAGCCTAATGATGTATAATATATCTCCCAAGCTTACTGACCAACCAGAGGACATACTTTAGTCCCGAAAATAGCACATTATAAAGTAAACTCAGAGTATATATCATGAAAAACAGAATCAAATTTCGGCTTATTTATCCTATTACGACCACTCCGATTTGTTGGACTTCACGATAAGGGAGCCTATAGGTAGTTATTTGGCCAAAGCGCTCGTATTACATTCACAAAGGTAATATAGAAGGCATGGTGGTGCGCTGGGATTAAGGCCAATCAACCTTTGGAGGGATATTTGATTACTAGTACTTACTGACCAACCAGCAAGAATACTTTTTTCCTGAACATCGATGTTTACCATTTCCTCTCTGTTCAGGACGATGTTCATTAAGTCCTGAACATCGTTCAGGACTAAAGCAAACTCTCTGTGTATATTTACCAAAAACGAGCGCTACACTTTTTAGAATTTACACAGAGAATTTCTGAGAGATATGTTGGAATTCTAATAATGCTGATGATATACAAGAATGTATACGCAGGTGTATAAAGCTTTTTCTATGTACACTTAAAGTTTACTAATGTCGTGGGCTATGCTCAGCTTTAATGTATATTTGATGGTTGGTCAGCATCAACCCAATTCAAAAAGACCATAGTATTGATCTACTTATTAAGTACTGTATAATGCAGTTCCTCAGCATTTAACAATAACATACAGTATATTTTCATACCTTCATTTCAGCTCCAATACACCAGTTTCCTTTTGCAGAGAAAAAAGGATGAGCCTCAATGCAGATAAAAAAAAATATACTAGTAAACACCCATAGAAAATTAGCAGTAGTATTTATCAAATTTAAAATTTAAAATATAAATCAGTACTAAATATGTAAAGCCTAAACTTAAAAATAAATTCAATCTAGATAACGCTACGGTGTCGATTCATATTTCCTCATATTTGTTAGTAAAATAGTACAGCAGTAGCAGTGACCTATTCGCTTCAGACGTTTCATATAAATTGGAATATCTTTTCCAAAACAGTATAGCATTAAATGGCATATCTCATCCAACCTTGGAACACCGGAAGGAACTTGTGCTGGCAGAGCAAAGGTTCCACTCCATTTGGGTAAGCTGTAATTATTTGAAAAAGAGCAGTGCCTTCTGAAGAGAATTTCGAGAAACTTACATAATGAACCTTAACGCAATAAATCCAGCACCAGTTGGATACAGGACTATGGGCTACTATAATATCTGAATAAAATGATAATTGCTTTGTCCTCATATTAAAATAGCGCAGCACTCCAGAGGTCTGAATGTAACAATTATCCTCAAGTTAGGATTCACTATATATTCTCTCACACTGAGGTGGTGCTCCACATTCTCAAATATTTACATGAAGAGGTACCATGTCTAGTGGCCTCGAGGGGAACAGGAAGTTAGCGGCTCGTCAAAGGTTTTATCATTGTTCCCATAGATTAACAAAGCGTACAGCTTATTTCCCATTAACTCAGGGAAGGAGCTGAATGCCGGATGGGAAATGTTGCTCTGGCAACTACAAAACCAATAACCACTTAATACCTTTTGAAGATATAAGCATCAGACGATTGTTAATTATTTTAAAGGTTGAATTAAAGGTTGAGGTCTTCTTTGGAGAATAAAGTTAAAATTACAGTTTCAGCAGAATGTAATTAGCTCAAACTACTTTAGGAAAGAATGAACCTAACTGTACTTTGAACCAATAATAGTTAGCCATATTTGACAGTTCTATTAATAGTTGAACTGGAATGTAGTTGCGAAAATTCTTTACTACTGATCAAGCTTCCCCTTCTTTTCATACAGGTAATATCCCTATTTTATTTGATATTAAAATATTTTAATTATTCAAAAACCAAGAGACAAAATGTAGCGACATTATCAACCAATTAACGACCAGCTGATGGTTTATCGTATAACCACCTATTAATAAAATGTTGAACTGGTAAATCTTCGATGCCAAAAATGTAAAATATTTAAGACACCCTTTCAACTAAAGCTAGATGCTGCCATTTTCGATGAAAGTACAACGCAAGTTACAGAAAGCCATTCCGTAACATATTTTGGACTAACTATAATAAATATTGATATCGCCGAACCTAGCAAAAATAGTATGTTGAAAAATAATAAATGTACACAATTTAAGTTTTCTACTAGTTACTTATGCTTTAAATATATATAGGCTAATCATGTGCACATATTCTAATTTATCTAAATGGATTTCTATTTGTGGTAAATTTGACAATTTCTAACTTTCGAATGATATAACAAGAACATGCATTTTTCTATATTAAAGTACATACTTTCGTTTCAGCGCCTGTTTCAGTTTTTAATAACATTGTAAATATAAGACATAGAGATACCACGTTGGTTGGTGTTGGGATTGAAGCTTAACCTCTGAATGATATCAAAGTCACCATAGTACAATTATTGACCACCAGAAAGTATACTTTAATGCTTAACATTGTTCAGAGCTATAATTAATTCCTCGTGTCTTTACACCAAGTGCATAGACACCAAGTGTCTATATTCCATGTGTGCAGCCACTGTCACTCCACGTTGATGACGGATGCAGTGTGAAGGAATTGTATTATTTACCGTCAATGCTGTCAACATATAAGTACCTGTCATGCCTGTCAGTTTACCGTAACAAAGCATTATAGATTTCTAGAACTGGCGTAATAAAATGTATTAACTGTTGAGGAGTCTTTGCCTATTATAATAAGTCATTTATAACAAATACAGAGGATAGTTTTACGGTGGTTACTCAGCATTTGTGTATCTATCAAGCCATTAATCCCCCCACAGTAGTAAAGGTCTACGGGCTCACCATAGCCCGTGCTACTTGGAACTTTATGTTCCAGGTAGCACGGAATCTTTAACAACAACAACAACCCCCACAGTAGCTTATTGACCGGCCACACTGTACTTTAGTACTGAACATTGTCCAGGACAAAATTAAATACTCTCGAGTGTATATACGTCGAGATTTTGGTTACACCTTTCTGTGTAATTATAAGGTGCGGCAATTTACTCTCGACAGCAGCTGACGTGGTGTGTCTGTTAATACCTCACGAATTATTTTTGTCTTATATACTTCATTTGAACTATGCCGAACACAGAGCTTTATGTGTTGTGTAACTAGCCATTCATTCCCATATAATGGTTCCTACACTAAATGGTATTCATCATATTAGTGTACACTACATAATTTATAACATAAGGCGACGATAACCTAATTAGCTTAGTTTCTCAGCATGTAACAATAACGAAAATAAAACTAGTAGGATTATATGGTGATTGTTTGAATAACATAATATTATCAAGTCACAATCGACGTGATAAAGGTAAAGGATGAACCGAAACATCGACGTCCCTTCATCTGGTGTGTGGTTTAGGCATGAATAACATTCAGTTATGAATGAATAACAAATAACAGTTCAACATCATTTCTAGGTACTCTCTTAACCCCCAATGTACCTTCTTGAATATAAATATATAAATGAATAAATAATTTAAGTCAAATTGAATCAAGTGTTGACAAAGGCCCAGATCGGCCGAAACGTTCATCTCTTTCCCATTTCTCTGTGGATTTTCCGCATATAAATAAATAAATAAAATAAATAAGTTTACAGGTGTAATGCAGAGAAACTGGAACATGTGGACATAAGGTGTAATACGACCTCTGGTTCAGGCGAACACCAGCACAGGCAAGAAAATGTATATATGTGGTTAGCATTGTTAATGTGTGGCCACGTCTGTGGTAAAAAATAATAAATAAAAAAAAAGCCCATGACTAATATTTTTAAAATATAATTTTCATGACATGAATTGGGATGTTGTACAGCGTTCTGTCGTTTTTTGAAGAGTAATTTTTGTAATTCTCTTTTGTAATTTTGAAGAGTTTGTAATTCTCAACATTAAACCTCTGAAACAGCTCATTCACAAATGATGTTTATCTAACACAGTGCACAGTAGTAGTAGGGTTGGCGCCACACAGACGATATTTTTTTTTCAGGGAAAATATCGTCTGTGTGGCGCCAGGGTTTTCAGGTAAATTTAGAATATCCCCTGTGCGCCCCAAGGGTTTCAGGTAAATTTTGAAATATCGTCTGTGTGGAGCCAGGGTTTTCAGGTAAATTTTGTCAGTCGCAGATTTTAGAAGTAAGGATTTCTTATGAGAAAAATAATTTCCGAGACTTAGAAGTTTGTTAAAGCCTTATGGGAGAAATTCAAATAACGTGTGTAGCACTTTAGGGCTTCCAGGAGAACTCTACGGACATATTTTACATGTTTTCAACTTACAAAATCGTCTATGTAAGCCTTAGTTATTCATATAAATTTAGAAAGTTATCTGTATAAGTCATGGTTTTCAAGTCTCGTACATCACACCCCCCTCCCTCCCCCCCTTGCCTCGCAATCTGTCGCATCACCTTTATTTACTTTGCGCCCAGCCAGTCAGTCGGCTCTTAATCTTATCTTATCTTATCCATAATATCTGGACCGTCCCTCCTCTCTCTCTCTCTCTCTCTCCTTTCATTCAGTTCAACTATTTTCCAACATCGTATGTTTGCTCCTTTTCATTAAGCAAGTCAGTATGTTTGCTCCTTTTCATTAAGCAAGTCAGTTTTACACAAATAAATCATGTTAGTAAGCAAGTTCTAGCTCACGTTCCCCACCTTAGTCCCCTGTCGTATAAAGAATACTATCATTCCAATCCCTCTAAAATTTAAAAATAATCATATTTCAAATGTAGTTCAATACAGTAATTAGTTACCAAGCTCCAGCTCTTGTCCTCCGCCTTAGCTCTCTCTCGTATCTTCGTTAGTATCAGTCCAATTTCCCTGAAATTTCTACCCTCTGTATTTCAGACATAGTTTAGTAAATGCAAACAATTATCAAACTCTAGCTCTTGTCCCCAGCTTAGTTCATTTGTACAAAATCATTAGTAACAGTCCAAATTCCCTTAGATTTTTAGCCTCTGTATTTCAGACACCGTAAATAAGATCAAAACAGTTACCAAGCTCCAGCTCTTGTCCTCCGCCTTAGCTCTCTCTCGTATCTTCGTTAGTAACAGATCAATTCCCCTGAAATTTCTACCCTCTGCATTTCAGACACCGTAAATAAGATCAAGTCAGTTACTGAGCTCCAGCTCTCGTCCCCGCCTTAGTTCTCTTTCATATCTTTGTAAATAAACCATCAATTTCCCTGAAATTTTTACCCTCTGTATTTCAGACATAGTAAATATGAAGTAAACAATTATAAAACTCTAGCTCTTGTCCTCTGTCCAAGCTCACTTTTGTAAAATCATTACTCTCAGTCCAAATCACCCAACTACATTTTCAGACATAGTAAATAAAAAACCAGTTCAGTTATCAAGTTTCAACTCTTGTGCCCCAGCTTAGTTCATTTGTACAAGTTCTTTATTTTCCAACTAAATCACCCTGAGATTTAAGATCACCTTATTTCTAACGTAGTAAAATTAATCGGGGCATTAACCAAGCTACATTTCCTCTGCCTTAGATCATCAAACATAAATATTTTCGATCAAGTCCGTCTCCTGCCTATCTGTTTATCAGAATAATTACATTACCCTCCCCTCCCCAACGTATCCAAAACTTCAATAATCGTACTGTATTTGCATATTTTCTCTATATTCAGCTGTGTTCTTCACATTTTGTCCATGTTTTCTATGTTCACTCCATGTTCTTCAAATGTTCACAGTCCCATTCAGTTCATATTTTCACAAGTATCTCCATTTTTTCTGTAATCTTTCTCTTAGTCTCATTACTTTCTCTACAAATTCTAGTCATATTTTCTATGTTTTCATGTTCATCTCATGTTCTCTTTACAACTTTATACTCAATATTCATGCTAACTTCCATATTTTTTGTGTTCTTTGTCAATATTCATGTTCCTCTACAAGTTCATGTTCCGCACAAGATCACTTCATTTTTTCACCTTCACTTACATGTTTTCTACATTCTTTGTCATATTCTCCATGTTCTTAAACAAATCTACACTTTATTCAGTTCCAAATTTACAAAGACAAACCTTTCTTGTAACTTCTTAACTAAAAATCTTTCGCCAATCAACTGAAACATAGTCACTTTCCTCATTTCTCAACTAAACTTATTATCCAGTCAACTAAAAATAGTCAGAAATAGCCTCGTTCAACACTGTTCTTAACTAAAACAACCTTTCTCTTAGCTAAAAATTGTCAAAGGAAACTTTTTCAGCACTTTCTTAACAGGCGCTATGTTTCATCAAGAAAAATTGTCAAAGGAAACTTTCCAAAACTGTTCATAACTAGCTTTTATCCATCGTCAATCAACTAAAAATAATAACTTTCATCATTTCTTAACTAAACTTATTCCCCCAGTCATCAGAAAATAACAGTGTTCTTCATGTTTCATTGTCATTTCATAACTAAAATTATCCATCAATCAACAGAAAAAGCCATGTTCATCATGTTTTGTCTTTTTGCTTAACTAAAATTATGTTTTGTCAAGTAAGAAAAAATAACCAAAGATATCTTTCATCGCTGTTCTTAACTGACATTATACTTTGGGGAGCACAAAAATAGTCTCCCTCGTCATGTTTTGTCTTTTTCCTTAACTAAAGTATTCATCAGTCAACTAAAAATAATTGCTTCATCATGTTTCCTTGTCATTTCTTAACTGAAATATCACTTCTCTCATCTGAAATAGTCAGGATTAACCTCATTCAACACCGTTCTTAACTAAAGTAACCTTTTGCTTAGCTAAAAATTGTCAAAGGAATCTTTTCAGCACTGTTCATAACTAACTTTATCCATCGTCAAGTAAGAAAATATAGTCAAAAGATATCTATCATCGTCGTTCTTAACTGACATTTATACTTTGTGGAGCACTAAAATAGTCAAATGTAACTTTTTCAACACTTTCGTAACTAAAATTATATGTCGCTAAGTAAGAAAAATAGTCAAAGGTGCTCTTCTTTACACCAAAGTTACTCTTCGAGAAATCAAAGACTCTCTTCAATACATCAAGGACTTACTCAAAGACACCAAAGTTACACTCTAAGACATCCTTCGAGACATCAAAGACTTCAATGGGACTCTTCCATTCATCAAAGACATTCTCTAAGCCCTCAAAGTTATTCTCAGCACAATCAAAAGTTATTCCAAGACAACAAAAGTCATTCTCAGAGCTATCAAAATTATTCTCGGAGTCATCAAAAGGTATTCTCTAACTCACTTTTGGTCATTAAAGTTAAGTTCTATGTTATAAAAGTTTGTCTCAGAGACATCTAAAGTTAATCTTAGAGTTATCAAATGTAATCTCTAACTCTCTTTTGTTCATCAAAGTTGATCTCAGAGTTAACAAAGGTAATCTCTAACTCACTCTCGTTCATCAAAGTTATTCAAAGAGCTAACAAAAGTTATTCTCAGAGTCACCTTCGTTCTTCAGAGATACTTTCCAAAACATCTTTATTCATCAAAGTTATTCTCAGAGGCATAAAAGTCATTCTCAGAGCTATCAAACTTGTTCTCAAAGTCATCAAACTTATTCACAGAGTCATCAAAGTTAATCTAAGACATCATTTTTCATCAAAGATATTCTCTCTAAACCATCAATGTTCTTCTCTAAGACATAAAAGTTATTCTCAGACTCACCTTCGTTCGTCAGAGAAACTTTCAAAACATCTTTGTTCATCAAACTTGTTTTCAAAGTCATCAAAAGTTAATCTAAGACATCTTCTTTCATCAAAGTTATTTTCAGAGACATCTAAAGTTATTCTCAGAGCTATCAAACTTGTTCTCAGAGTCATCAAATGTTATTCTCGAAGTCATCAAAGTTATTTTCAGAGACATCTAAAGTTAATTTCTATGTTATAAAGTTATTCTCAGAGACATCTAAAGCTAATCTTGGTCATCAAAGTTGTTCTCTAAACATCAATGTTGTTCTCCAAGACATCAAAGATGTTCTCAAAATCATAAAAGTTATTCCCAGAGCTATCAAAGTTAATCTCAGAGTTATCCAAAGATATTCTCATGTCCACAAAAGTTATTCCAAGAGACGTCAAAGTTGTTTCAAAGACTTCAAAGTTAATCTCAGAGTTATCCAAAGACATTCTCAGAGACATCTAAAGTTATTCTCTAAGACATCAAAGTTGTTCTAAGAGTTATCAAAAGTTATTCTCAGTCATGATATGTTATTCTCTAACTCACTTCCATTCATCAAAGACATTCTCTAAGTCCTGAAAGTTATTCTCTAAGACAACAAAGTCTTTCTCAG